TGTTTCATTTATCTATGACTAATTTCGATTTTGAAAATAGCTACTGTCACTAGAAAGTTGCCATGACGACATCAGCCCTCTTTGTTGCCATTTTATTGAAAAATTGCTCTTTATTCAAATCTGAGCTAGATAGGCATAGGATACCCTAATAATAGTTTGAAAGAGTATTTGAATCTGTTTCGATTTATTTTAAAAAATACAGGTTGTCGTATTTGAAATAACAAGGTTTTTATGTAAAATAAATATTTAAAATAAATCATCAATTTTTGGTACCCCTGTATAAATTTAAGGGAGCAATACAATTTTTCAGTAAAGTTTATTTCTCTATCTTTAAACTCAGTACAATAATTAATTCTAAAAAGCAATGCACAGGGTGTTGATAATCTATTCCATTGTAGCATGCATATTTAAATATCTTATCTTTAAATATCTCAACAACCAAAGCTTGTAAACATATTATTATGTGTCCAAGGATCCAAATATGAAATAAAATACCGGGTGTTCCATAAGAAAAAATATAACATTGGTGTAAATCTTAGTTCTGACATACCCTGTACATTTCAAAATAATTTTAAATTATGCACATGGTCTTCCCACATATGCCCATAAAATATTTTGTTTCTACATATTTCCGTTTTCGTATAATCAACCGAGGCGAATGAGTTTCGCCACTATGTATATAGGTGTTCCATTTAAAAAAAATATTCGCGATCCACTCACACTTTTTTGAGCCACCCTTTAGAAGTTCAAATATTTTCCTCAAATACATCCTAATACATACTTTATGTCTGGACTACAAAATTCATAAGTTTTTTATTATAGGAGCTGCAGATGCCCGACGCACTATTGCCGGACCCTGTAGAATCCAGGTGATTAAATTGTTGGTGATAAATTAAATACTATATAGTATTGTGAACATTTTATTCCACCCGACTCTAGTTCGACATATGCTCAACGAATTGTGATCCTAAACCGACCAATCAAATGTAAAGTTTCAGACATCCGCGTCCGCTTCTCGCAAAAAACAAAAATTTTGTTTCCTAGAAAGCATCGCGCTGAACATCTAGGTGCGTGGCGATGTGCGAGGCTCCAGTATGTTTTGACACATAAATTTGTACATGCATTTAGCATCGCCGGATGGAGAGGTGAATGGGGCGCATCGCGTCGAGATGAAATGCCCCGCACTATGTTTGTACGATAGTCGCGATGCATCCTACGCGCACTTACCCAAGTAGCATTTTCACGACTTGCGACCACATGTTTACTAAACACAACGTTGGATTAGTTACAAAAAATAGTTAGCAACGTACCTTGGGTATTAAAATAAATGTAAACGTTGTTGTAACGTTGTGCCGACGTTGAACTAGTACTACAACAAAGTAAAAGCTTCTGCGACGTCGAATAAACGTTGTCTTGTAACCTTTTTTGCTTAAGTGATCTTTAGGTGATTCGGACAACGTAGTTACAATGTCGGGCAATAAAGAGTTTTCCGACGTCAGTTTCAGGACCTATTCCAACGTTATGCAAACGTCGTCTGTTTTACTAATTCCAACGTTGTTTAAATTTCCTTATTCTTACATTGGTAGGACGTCGAGCCACTACCTTTTTGCAACTGTATTGAACCATAACCTTAAATCTTAAATTTTCACTTCATTGTTCTGTTCAGTTAGACAGTTCAGTGCTGTTTTTGTTTTTATACAAAAAACTTAATTAAAATGGGACGTAAGAAAGGCACATGTAAAACTAAACTTAAATATACATCGACATATTACCGATACTTTATCCACTCCCTCGTTTATTTAGAATACCTATAAGGGGCGGCACAAGCTAGACTCTAGGATGACTAAATTAGGCAATCTTGCGACTAGTATACTACCTGTTAAGGCTGAACTGCGACTTTATTAGTCCAGTATGCGACTACTCGAACTACGCCATCTTAATCTCCAAAACAACAAAGTGAAAGCCGCTATGTTGTTGTATAAGAAAATGTTTCGTTCCTAAAATAGCAATTCCTGCTTTTTGAATACATTAACTTGAAATATTTGACCCTAAACAACACGCGGAAACAATTTTTTTTTCGACTGCGAATAAATTATTCTCATTTTACTAAAAAAAATTCAAGAAATTTTTTAAAACTTCTTTAATTTTAAGGCCCATTAGTATTTTTCAAAGTAGAAACAATACATTTATCAATAAAGTTGTTTGCGTTTAACTTTTTTGTCTTGGGTAACGACTTACAGTTGGTTAAAGTGTTTCAATAATTATGATCTTCAAACATCCTCCACACTTAAATGCTTTTGTTTTGTTTTCCTTTACTGCCATCTGGCATATGTCTCTAACTAAATCATAAAAATAATATTTTTACTATAATTATCCCAATTTAGGATAAAACGCGACTTAGACGCCATATTATTATAGTTTTGTATTTCTGTTAATTACTATTTTAAACAACGTTGCAGTTTGTACTAAATTAGGCTGCTAGCCAACGTCGGTATCCAACGTCGTTTCGACCCAAAGTTATTCTCCAAACTAGTGCAGACTAGGGTTGGCACGAGGTTGTGCCGACGTTGCGCCCCGACGTTTGGTCGCGTGACACAACGTTGTCCCGACGCGACGTCCAGATGCTGCTTGGGTACTCGCCGTTTTAAAACAGTGCGAGTAGAATGCATCGCGGCTAGCATCCTGGCGAGCAGCACGGCCAGCATCTTGGCGAACATCGCATCGAGATGCCTCACTATGTTTGTACCCTTAGACACTCGAAGAAATTGCTCAGAATTTATGAACGTGAAAAATAAAAACTTTTCCTTTATTTAAGTAAGAACAATCTTTGGATTGTCATGGGGTTTTTAATAGGACACTGTATCCTCAACAAACACCTCAGTAGATTGAAGCTGAGAAAGAACGGTGAATGCAGATTCTGTGGGGAAAATGGGGAAACACCAGAACACTTCATCACTGAATGAGCCGAGACGACAACCATTCGTGCCATAAACTTTAGTACGACTGATATTGGAGATGAAGAACTCGCCTCTGTGAGGCCGTCTCAGATACTGACTTTTGTCGGCCCTGAGACTGTATGATGAATCGTTATAACTACTCGTTATAATTACACAATGGATCTGTAATATATGGTACACAATAGGCTTGGTGCATTTCAGTTGATTTCAACAAATTTCGACCGCATGCGGTCCAGCGCTTCAACGGTAGAAATCAGAAATTATCAGTATGTATTTCACGCCGCCGCGGTTACACTTCATGTTGATCGCATTAAAATAATATTTAAATCGTAGCTCTCTCGTAATATTTAAGTATTTTGCTAGTGCAGTTATCGAGAGTATTAAACACTCAGGTAAGACGTTTGAAAGGTAGTGAAAAGGAATGCGAACTAGGCGTCGTGTTGTGTTGTGACAATTTTAAATGTTAATAAAATTGCCAAAAAAATGTTACCGCGCAAAGGAGAGCGTAATTAGGGCGTTGGTGGGTGCAATAACATTCAGTAATTCAACTTTCCCGAAACCACATTTATAGCTTCATAGTTTTCACACCAATATAATTTACAATATTAATGGTATACGTTTTTTAATCGACTAGTGATTAAGTGTTTTATGAACATCTTCTAAAATTATAATTATGTACCTTTAAAAAATTTCGTTATAGCCGAAATAGCCCCAATTATAACTTCTACGTACTTCTACAAAGGTAGGTCCTACCAATAAAACAAGTTATTTTTTTGTTTAATTGTTTTCTTTTTTAATATAAATAAGCTTAAAATATAAATAAAAGAATATACAAATTATAATTATTATTAGCTCCAATAAATAATTTTTTGACGGCTTAACCTAAAAATAGTATAAAACTCATTGATTGATCCCTATATTGTATTTTTTTTTCAGAAACTACTAAGCTGCTTTTACAATGTGAGATTATTGAGTATAGTCTGTCTACTGACAGAATATATGATTTTGACAGAAGACAACACACTTTTAGATTAAAATAACAAACGATTATCACTGTCTCGTCTGTCGGACGCAATGGCTAAAGAATACAAGGACCAATAACAATCAAGATCAAATTGTTACTATACCTCCAAACAGTGCCGTTCCACATATTTTCTTAACTTAGCTGCTTGAAGAGATATTTATATTTCTGATAACTGTTTATTTAGGTGGTGTCATACAAAAAAAAACGTATTAAAATGTTAACAAAATGTACAAAACTAGTATCGACGTATAGCACATATCAAATATATACCGGGTGCATCTCAAAAGTGGCTCACCCCTATAACTTTTCTATTTTTTCAGATAAAAAGACGAGATTTGCTATGTTAGTATATGACATAAATTAGGATTGATTGATGTCTTCACTTGTTTTTGGTCACTTCCTGTTTCACCGGAAATGACTACAACTTTTGATTTTTAAATGGCACCCTCGATATTTTTTTACTTTATTCCGTAGAAAATGACACTCTGAATAGAATGATATATCATATGTCAACTTTTGACATTTTCGCATATGGTTTATTTGAAATTATAACATGCGGTTCATAACGACAATTTGACTCGAAATACTAAGTGTGTGGTACCAAATTATTCGTAAAAAATGCTTTTTCCAAATATGATAATGAGCCACCCTTGATCCATTTGAAAAAAATTAGATATGATTAAAAATACAATTTGGGTATCTTTTAACCGGCCAGGACAAGACATGAAAAACATTAGACTATCAAATATATTTTTCCAAGGCTCCTTGATTAAAAATTAGTGGTTTTAACACTGTCATGGCACTCTAGATTGAAATTTAAAACTTAATTTTTTTGTAAGCGGAAATGTCAAAAGTTGACATATGATATGTCATTCTATTCAGAGTGTCATTTTCTATCAAACAAAATAAAAATATACGGAGGATGCAATTTAAAAATCACAAGTTGTAGTCATTTCCGGTAACACAGGAAGTGACCAAAAACAATTGAATACGTCAATCAATCCTAATTTATGTCATATACTAACACACCAATCTCGTTTTTTTATCTGAAAAAATAAAGAAGTTATAGGGGTGAGCCACTTTTGAGACACACCCGGTATATCAGAAAAATAATTATCCAATTCAATATAAAAACGCTAAAATGCTGGAGTGGACTGTTTATTTACTTATGAAACGTAACTCCTGGCTCTTTCTTATCGTTGCGGCTTTTACGCTTGAAACCTGAACAAATCACCATTGTAATAAAGTTTATACAAAGTTCACTACACACAACAAACTATTAAAATCGTTAAAATCGTCGCTAGTGACACATCCGTTTCTCCAAAAAAAATGGCATCTAACAACACAAATTCTCCCACAGCACGTATATGGCGTTACGGGTCCTGGTATTCTTTCATTAGCCCGATGAAAAGACAGTGACAGTTATTGTCTGTCATTTCTATGCGCAGGTAAATTGTATTTTCTGTCATTTTTTGGATGTAGTCTGTCAAAATCTACCCTGGCTCGTTAGACAGACTTTATATACCTACTTTAGATAATGTCTATACCTTTTTGGCTTTGTAATTTATATACCGTATGATGAAAAAAAAAACGGCGTCCAGTTGGCTTGGAAACGAACATCGATGACATTCCTCATATAATTTTACATATAAAATGACAGCGATCTTCATTTCGTAGCCATCGCTGACGCGGTTTTTTTCGATCATATTGTACTTTCACTGGACACACTATAATTAGATTTATTACCAATCACAATAATTATAAATAAAAAATAAATAATATTTCATTCTACTTAACATTTTTTTGGTTTCATGTTGACTTTTTAAAAGTTACTTAAAGCCCAGTTATTGCTACAAAAGTCTGCAATGTACAGTATGTTTCCGATAATATGATCAAAAATGTTCTATGCAAGATGCAAGTTATTATAATTACTCCCACTCTTTTGCAATAGTATCATAATCGTAGTTCTCAATAAAGGGTTTATCAATATTTTTTATCATATTTTCGCCACAGTATAAACATTCTGAAGCTATGATATTGTCTATCTCTGTTTTGGCTTGTTCCCTGGCTGATATACCTAAAAAATATATTTTTGATTAACAAACCTGTGTGTTTATTTACGTATAAAATATGTTATATTCAATTATAACTAATTTTTATTAGTGGCGTTGTAGATATTACAAAAATGCTAAAATTTCAAGAAACATACCTGCAGAACCTGTACTTAAATTGTCTACATTATTCTGAGAATTTAACGTTTTCACCTGTCGCTGTAAATCTGCTAATCTTGCTTTTTTCGTTGGTCCTAAAATAATAGACAGATTTTAGAAGATAATCTATACTAATATATAAAATCCTTAAGTGACTCATTGATTAATCACGATCCTGCTCAAACCACTCAACCTAAGAAGCTCAATTTTGTCATACAGGTTGATTCTAGGTTGTAGAGGTTCGATAAGAAGGGATTTTTCGAAATTCCAGTTCCAAGGGGGTGAAACCACCCCTGAAATATTACAATATTTTTTATTTAAAAAACGGTCAAGTGTCCGAAAAAACGCTTAAACACGTATATTTTATTTTGTTTTTTACATATTTTAAGATTTTTTAAAAATGTATACAGGATGTTTCGAAAAATCTGGTCATTGATTAATCACGATTCTGCTTAAAGCGCTTGACGTAAAAAGCTGATTTTTGGAAAACGGATTGACTTTAGGGTGTGGAGATTCGATAAGAAGGGATTTTTAGAAACTCGAATTCTAAAGGGGGTGAAACCACCCCTCAAATATTAGAATATTTTTTATTTAAAAACCGGTGAGTTTGTCGGAAAAACACTTAAACATGTATATTTTATTTTGTTGTTTTACATATTTTAAGATTTTTTTAAAATTTATACAGGGTGTTTCATAAAATATGACAATTGAGTAATTACGATTCTGCTTAAACTGCTTGACGTTTAAAACTGATTTTTGGCAAACGGATTGACTGTGGGGTGTAGAGGTTCGATAAGGAGGGGTTTCTCGAATCTCAAATTACAAGAGGGTGAAAACGCCCCTCAAATATTACAATATTTGTTATTTAAAAAACGGTTAGTCTTTCGTGAAAACGCTTGGACACGCATAATTTATTTTGTTTTTTACATATTTTGAAATTTTTTAAAAACAAAAAGTGTTCCAAAAAGTTGGGTAATTGATTAACCACGATTCTGCTTAAACTGCTTGACGTAAAAAGCTTATTTTAAGTCAAATTCCAACGAGATGAAACTACCCCTCAAATATTACCAAGTTAAATAATAATATCGCCATATTGTTTTTTCTCATCTGACATAAATGTGAGCAAATTTTATCCAGTTTGTATGTTAATAGAAATTCTTGCTTTGCTTTATCTGATAGTGTATGTTGAAAAAAAAATTAAGTGAAAACAAAAATAAAACTGTATAGGATTGATGAATTTCAATCGATTTTTAAAATTTCGACAGCAACGCTCGGTACAACAGAAATCAGAACCTTCCAGCTATGTATAATATAGTATGTGTAATAGGGTGCACCAAAAAATCTTTTTAGTTACCGTGAAACTATCGTTCAGGATGATGAAAAAAATCTTGTAAGTTTGAGCTTTTAATATTAATATTAAGAGGTGCCTTTTTTATGTTATCCAAACCAAACCAAAACAATATTTTTTTCTTTGGAATTTTATTGCGTTCTAACAAATCCGGGTTTTGGAAAAATCAATACATATTCTTGTAGAAAATTGAACGGCCTTCGAAAAAGGTCTGATATAAATTTTCATTTAATCGACTCGTTTCAAAGTTATTGAAGGTTAAAGTTCAACTTCAAATCGTATCTATATAACTTCCACAATTTTTTTTATATTTTATCACGATATATTGGCTCATAAACATAAACTATCATATTTTATCACGACATAATGGCTCAAACACCTAAAATATCATATTTTATGTTTTTGAGCCATTTGGTAAGAAAATAATATAAAGATATGTGGAAGGTATCACATACAATTTTAAGTTCAAGTTTAACTTGTAACTTTAACCTTCAATAATTTTCAAACGAGTCGATTAAATGAAAATTCTCGTGAAAATTCATATCAGACCTATTTGGAGAACGTTCCATTTCCTATAAGAAGAATATGGAGGAATATTGATTTTTACATGCAATAAAATTGCAAAGAAAAAAATAGTATTGCTTCCCCGTGTTATTTACATGGGAAAAAGAAAATCACGATAAGGCACCCCTTAATATTAATATTAAAAGCTGAAACTTTACCAGAATTTTTTTTGTCATCATCCTGAACGATATTTTCACGGTAACTAAAAAGTAAAAAATATTTATTTTTTTCGGTGCACCCTATAATGTGTACTACACACCTACAATACACATTGTGTAGTATGTTTCTAGACTAAAATATGTCGAAATGTCACAATTCTTCTGTATATTAAATTCCATGAATAGATGTAAAGCTATTTAGTACTGATATATCGAAAATGTGATTCCCAACTCTTTATTGTTGAAAAATTATGGTGCGTAGTTTAAATTTCACAAGACGAGCTACTGAACTTCTCTGCGCAAATAACAACGGTTCAGAGTGGCTAAATCAGAGCGAATGTAAGATGATTTTACTGAAAATCGCATGGATTTGTTGGTATTAAACTGACCGTGACTGTTGGTACATTAAAACATTGGTACATTAAACTAACCGTTGTGACCGTTGGTACATTAAAACTATGTACCAACGGTCACTCTCGAGACCATACACTAGTCTTCATGGACTGAATTATAATGAATGTTCCCTATTAATTTTAGTAGTTCCCACACACATTTAAGTATTATTCAATATTATCACTGTAATTTTAGATTAAGATCGAAACAATCTCAAATATTGGTCTTTACTAGTATTAATAAAAGTAATAAAGCCAGATTGTGACATGATCTCCCGTGAAATGGAGGATCTCCCGCAAATCCCGTTGGAGGAGGGCTTAAATCATTTGATCTATTTTACAAACGGTAATCGGAAAACATTTTCCGATGCACGTCATCAATCATATCGAAATTGACACTAAAGCCTATAAAACTGATTAAATGGAATTTTGGGCAAAAATATTTGTTGTACAATTTAAGATTCCGAGCAGCTTTTCATTTTACTTTATAGAGCAAATGATTGTGACAGATATTTTATTTAGGTTAAAGCTGCAAAAATTAGTTTAAAGCGGTTTTTATTATAGCCATGTTGGTCACATTGCGCCGCGATCATCAACGTTGTTGTTTATTATTTGACAATTATCATGTCATTATTTTGTATAATATCGTGTTGTTATTGAATCTTTGGGAGTAATTCTGTTTTTTTGCCGATTTTCATAGTCTTTTTTTACAAATTGTACTTTTAAGCACAAACAACTTTTTTACGAACTAAATTTTCGAGTTTTTGTATTACGTTTCTTGAAATTGTGTGTTGAAAATATGCCGAAGCATTTAAACAGTCGAAGCAAAGAGCTTGTAGCTTCCCTAATAAACTTTTTTGAACGAGAACGTGACAATAAGGGTTCTTTATTACCCTTGACTGAGAAGTAAGTTTGATTGGTAAGCACTTTTTACCACTTTCAAAGTTATTTCTACTTATTTTGATTTGTAGCGCGTAGCTGCTGCCTTAAATTTAAATATTTCTAATGTGAGTGTTAGTGACTACTATTAATCTTCTTCTTAGAGTGCCATACTCTATGCAGAGCGTCGGCTACCTCTCGCATGTACTTGTGATGTGTGTCATCAGTGTTTCACAAGTACACGGGACCTACAGTTTATCGTCGAATCCGAACGGCACTATTTGAGAGGTTGTACAAGGCAAATATACTCAAGGTGGTTTGCCATTGCCTTCCTTGAGGTGGCGGCTCGCTAGTCGCTCTATTTAGATAAATCAATATTTTTATGTAAATAAATAAAGCGACCGTACTGGCTGAGGATCGAACCCAGTACCATCCCATCTCTCGCACCGCAGATCGACGCACTAGCTGTTTGCGCTACGGCCGGCCACTACTATTAATAAATAAAATAATTACTAAAATATTAATTATTAAATTAAAAATAAAACGTAAAAATCTTTAAAAAATGATATAATAAATATATTGTTTCCCAATTTTACATTAAGATTCATCTCATAAATCCATCACAATCTGGCAGCGCTGTCGCCATCGCTTGTCACTCAAAATTTATCACGTGCATCGGAAATTGTTTTGCGATTACTTTAGGTGGTCTTTTAGGACCTTACTATACAATTGTCTCATATTTATTTAATAGTCTTGTACATATTTTATTTTTTATGCTTACCTAAAGAAGGTTCCAACTCTGATAAGAGACAATCAGAATGAAATTTATGATGGCAGGGAAATAAGTAGAACGGTCGCACCATAAGAGTAACATTGCAGATTTCACATTTATCATCGCTATTTATCACCATGTAACAGTTTCTAAAAGAATGGATCTCTTCGCGTACTTCTTCAGCTGATTTGGTCGCTTCTGCCATTTCTTCTTTTAAAATTTCTATGTATTGATTGTATTCCTAAAAAAATATGATTGGAATTACTAAAAAAAGTTACATGACATAATGCCTTTCTAGTTTACATTTAGGGAATTACAAATGGCATCCTTGAAGTGATCTATGGTGACAAAATCGGAGAAGAATGGTAAAATATCCTCGATTTTGATAAGATCGCATTGTTGTAAGAACTTCATTGCTTCTTGAATGTCGTCTTTTTCCTTTACGACGTGTTGGGCTAAAATATTATTCAACCGTTTATATCGACACAATATGCTTTGTGTGACAGATAATAAATAGATACAAAATCGAAACAAAATCTCTACTGAGAAACATTGCGAAACAGTTTCGTCACATTTTTGATACATATGTTTCGTAACATAAATCGCTTTTTGTTTCGAAACACTTTACCAAAATATGGTTTCACTATATAAGCTATAAGAATAAAGATCTTAGTGTCACAAATTTTTCGAAACTTTTAACAAACAGATGTGGTTCACATTTACAGATTTCGTATCCCTTTTGTGCCTGAAAAGTTTCCATAATTTATTTGATATTCTGTCATATATGAGAACATAACCTTACTTTATTGTTTTTTAGCGTTGTTGACAGGTGACTAGTTCGAAATTTCTACACAGATAGCGTTAAATCGAAACATGTTGGAAACAATGCTTCTATTTATTGTCGATTCATTTTCGAAGCACGAGTTTCTCTTTTTTAGACAAAAATATGTTATAATGTACATGATTTGTATCCGACTCTATGTCAATTTTATAAAATAATGAATTAAAATTCCGCCATGTTGGCTAGTGATAGCATTTTTACTAAAAATATATGTGTTTATTGGCTGTTGAGCTTTTAAACTCATAAGAACGCGTTCCACTTAAATTGATTTATTTATTTTCAGAACCATGATATAGAAATAGAAATAAAAATATATATTTCAAACAAAAATATTTTGTAGCAACAAATAATGATATATAGAAGGGGCATTAAAAATATGAAAGTACATTATTAAATTAAACGATGAATTTGCTTTTGCCAGACATTTTTGTGTGAAAAAACCTAAAAACAAATTTTAAGACAAAAAAATTATGGCGGAGGTCGACATTGTTGATGGTTGTTTTCATTTTGAAATCCAGACAGACATAGACTATTTTAGTTTGGTATTTAGTTTCTTCACATTTAGAAATAGTGGCTGAAAACGGGAACATCTTGGACACAAATTACAGAAAATGTTTCGAAACATCTCCTCTAAAATTCCCCATCGAAACATTTCAAGAAAGGGCTAGTGCCACCACATAAGATATATAGGTTTCAAAAATGTTTCCTATTTGTGGCATACCGTTTCCATTTCGTATCAAGAAACAGACAATTATTAGAAACATTACCTGTGCAAAAATGCTACTTGAGCAAGTCTTAGGTGAAAATACATTAAAACTTTCCTAACTATAAAATTTAAAGTCCTCTTAATAACAAAACTTTGTGATAGTTCGGTATAAAGGTAAAAGTCATCCCTACTAAGGGGTTGAAATAATGACTGAGTTAAAATCTGTCCAACTAGAGTTAGGGAAGATTTCGACATCCAAAAAATGACAGAAAATACAATTTATCTGTGAATTAAAATGACAGACAGTTGTCACTGTCAAGTATCGTCTATAAGATTGATAGCGAACCTGTATTGGGGACAGACTTTTCAGAGGTTTTTCTGAAAATATACAAATACAACGAGGTGTACGTAAGGGATGCATCTTGTCTCCCCTCCTTTTCAATATATATATATATATATATATATAGTGAGACCATCTTGCAAGAAGCTTTGGAAGAGGGAGATGAGGGCATCAAAGCGAATGGTCAACGAATCAACACTATCAGATACACTGACGCTGCAGTAGTAATGACAGACAACAGTGAAGATCTGTAGAACCTACTTCAAAGAATAAATGTATTATGCAAACAATACGGGCTGAATATGAATTTGAAAAAAACAAAATTCATGATTATTACAAAAGACCAAAATGTAAATGTTTCAATATCAATTGACAGCACGCCAATAGAAAAAGTCCAACACTACAAATACTTGGGCACAGTAATAAATGAAACTGCCGAACAATTGCAAGATATCCAGGATTGAGCCAGAAATTCTTTTTTAAAACTGAAGAAATTTCTTTGCAGTACAGATACAAACTTATTATATGTAAGAATAAGATAATATCAAGGTACTACGCCGTATGAACAAGGAATGAAGAAGAAATACATAAAACCCTTAAGAGGAAAAAAATAGAATATTTTGCACATGTTATAAGAGGTCCTAAATACCAATTACTCCAGAATTATGGAAGGAAAAATCCAAGAAGAACGTAGTCGGGACAGAAGACGAACATCCTGACTGAAGGACCTCAAAGAATAACGTCGAATGGATTATTTAGAGCAGCCACAAATAAAATCAGAATAGCCATGATGATTGCCAACCTTCGTTAGGAGACTCTCGCTAGGTACTTGAAGAAATATCGTCTCGTTGGATAAACCATTGTAAACAAATATGTCCCTCTAAAAACAAGCTTATGTAGTTTTGAGATTTGCTCAAATTTATAATATTATGCAGGACCTTAACGTTTACATTATTTTGTACACATTTTCTATAAATACTTTATATACAAACAGTAAATAAACTACTTACCTATTTTTAACCATAACTTTTTTCGCAATTCCGTATCATTATCAGGTGACATGTTAGCCATTTTCTTAGCTAAATCTAGGTTTACTTTCAGCGCTAAATCGACTGCTGATTCCCATAGACCCAACAGTCCAGATAATTCAACACAAGCTTCTGTTAGGTTACATTCTGTACATAGACGTAAAGCAAAGTAGACATCGTAGTTTATCTAAAGATAGTGTTGATTATTTTGGCCACTATTAAATTAGCAAGAATTATGAAATAAAACAACGATTTAAAGAGATTCCTCTCCCTTTCTAAAGAACACCAAATATATATTTTCTCTAATTTAAAAAATCTTTTTTAGAAACTATTTCAGCCTTACTTATCTAAAAAGTGTAAAAAGTCCATCTACAAAAACTGAATCACAGTGTTTATGTTATAACCCGTTTTCTTAGAAGTTAGCAATAATATAACATTATTGCTATTTTGATATTTTTCAGTCATATGGTTTGCGATAGCAAAGTAATAATATAATAATATACAGGGTTGTTCACCACATACGACACGGAGTATTGTAACTAAACGATTAGATTTTTACAAATTGTAAGTTTTGGGTTCGTTGAACAACTATTAGAGCTACAATTTAAAAATATTTTACAAGGTACAGAGTGTCCCAAATAAGTAAAAAATATTATAGTTGTATTTTTTTAAATGGAACACCCTGTATATTATTCTATTTTTGGATTCTACGTTTGAAATAAAGGTAAATTTGATTAAGGTTTATCACACTTAAACCTTACCGTTTATGAAATATTTTCAATTTTATGAAATTGCAGTGAAATTTTTAAGGCTTCATTTCTCCAAGGGTATCAAAGTTTTTAATACTAAATATTTACTGAAGATTATTTATTGATCAGATATTGTGTTGCAATAATAAAACTTTTACTACCTTATACAGAGTGTCCAAAAATTCATATTAAATAATTACTAGCTTTAAACGGCAATAACTTGTTTAATTTAAATGGAACACCCTATATATTTTAAGTGAATCAGATACACAATGAAATTGTCTATCAAATTGTATTATACAATTTTTTACCCATCTCTTCAAGTTTTCATAGAAAATGTATTTTCTTATAATTTAGACCTCATTTATCACTATACCCATGGAATATTGACATTTTAGCTTATTTTTAAAGATATAACAAATTTTCAAAGGGTACAGATACTAAAATTGTCGATATAGTGGCTTATTTAATTAAAAAATTAAAAATACCGTTTAAATATTTTTTTGTTAAAGAGGACCAATTAATATGATCCCAGTATTCAAACTACATTAATTGACTGTTTACGTTGATTAATAATAATTGCTCCAAATACTAAAAAACTGTATTTTGTGTGTGTGTGTGTGTATTAGACAGTGTGGTAAAAAGTAACACCTTATAAATTTTATTTCATTTTTTGACGAATGCTTATTTATAAAAACAGAGACGTTTTCATAACTTATTTTTATATTGATTTCTGGGCCAAATCCACATTTATTTAGAATACTTTATTAATTAAAACAATTTAAAAGTATGTAATTAACTAATTTTTGTTTTTTTGGTCGGAAATAATGGTGGTAAATAATTGGTATACTCTTTTACAAGGATTTAAATAGTTTTTTTTTGTACGCCAATGAACTCGCAATATTTACCACCACATTTTGTACATATATGGTGCTATAAAAAATCTGAAATGTCAATATTCCATGGGTATAGTGATAAATGAGGTCTAAATTATAAGAAAATGCATTTTCTATGAAAACTTGAAGAGATAGGTAAAGAATGGTATAATACAATTTGATAGACAATTAAATTGTGCATCTGTTTCAGGTAAAATATATAGGGTGTTCTATTTAAATTAACCAAGTTATTGCCGTTTAAAGCTAGTAATTATTTAGTATAAATTTTTGGACACTCTGTATAAGGCAGTAAAATTTTTATTATTGCAACACAATATCTAGTCAATGAATAATTTTCAGTAAATATTTAGCATTAAAAAACTTTGATACCCTTGGAGAAATGAAGCCTTAATTTTTTTACTGGAATTTCATAAAATTGAAAATATTTCAAAAACGGTAAGGTTTAAGTGTGATAAACCTTAATCAAATTTATTATTATATTTTATTTCGATCGTAGAATCTCAAAATAGAATAATATACAGGGTGTTCCATTTAAAAAAATACAACTATAATATTTTTTACTTGTTTGGGACACTCTGTATCTTGTAAAAATATTTTTAAATTGTAGCTCTAATAGTCCTTCAATGAACCCAAAACTTACAATTTGTAAAAATCTAATCGTTTAGCTACAATACTCCGTGTCGTATGTGGTGAACAACCCTGTATAATATATAATATAAGGCTATAGCTTGTCCAGCGAGAGAATATATGGTCTTGACAGATCATAACCAGAAAATAAGAGAAAAAAATACTTTTGAATTCAAATGACAGGCCACTGTCACTGTCAAACTAAGGGCTGGCAAAGGTTAGTCTTGGGTCGAGATTTCCGTATGTAAGAAGGATACAATGCGTTTGTAATGTACTGAACAAAGAGAACAGTAAACACGTTGCCAAGCGTATGAAATAAACCGAGAAACTGTGCACATTGCTAAGAGACGTAGAAGAAGATAAGCAGATTTGTCACATTCGACCGGTCGACCCAATCAGTACCTCAGTCAGTATTTAAAGTTCTAGGGAAAGGTGTACATCATGCGTTCAGCCTCACGATATAATTACGTCTCGTGATAGTTTATTTATTTATTTATTAACGAGTCGTTGTAATTTTCCCTATAGCTTGAACATTTTTAAGTGCAAGTTAGAAACACCTGTATTTTTGGAAAAAAAGTGAAATTAAATTGGTGTTCGACAGTGGTCGCGCTATTAGAACTTTATTAGAAATAATTGATTGCAGTTTTTTCAAAAATTTTCTTAACATTCCTGCTATATTTTCTTCGCAGGCAGTATGTGCAAATATTTATAAATAAAAAAAGTTACACGATTTCTGAAAATTGCTATGCACTAAAAGTAAATGAATGGATTATTTAATATTTTTGAATAGAAAAAAACAACCTTATTGAATTTTTCTTATTTAAGCATATTGTAAAAGATCCGATCTTCAAAATAAAAAAAGTTTCAGTATCTAAAGTGGTTCTTAAGTTATGGCATGTTATGTGTTAAAAAGTTGGGTTTTTAAATTATCGTCATTACTGATGTTTTCTTCTTATAAAAAACGGACACCTTAACGATATCCTTATAATTTCATTTCAGATGCTCAGAAACATACCTATCTAATGATTTTATCTAGTTATATTTTCGAAAAAAAAAAGCATTTTAAAGCGGTTTGCGATCATGATTTTACTTTACTTGTTAAGAAAAGGCGTACCGGCAACACTGCAACAGCATACCGTCGCATTTCTCTCACTCCGACTTAATAAGATCCCTATGCGATTTACTTCCACACGTGTAAATAGCGACCCAAAAATAACAGTTGCCAGCACGGTATATTTTTCATTGAATAGTTGAATCAATTTTGTTAAAAGACTTACCAAACCTAACTCCTGCCCTTGTGATTTCAAATAGTCCATTAATTTCCGGGGATCGTGTTTAGCGTACAGGGAGACAAGGAAATTATGAATTGCCTTATCAATGTTCTTCAATTTGGTAATGCAGAATTCTAAATATCTACAAACATAAGATATGCATGCAGTTTTGGTTAAAAGTAGCGTCCATACAGAAACTTTTTTTCTGTCTCAAATTATTAATTTAACTGTGATGAAAAATTGTGTCAGAAATTGAAGGGTCTAGGGGAAAAACTTCATAAGTGGCAATTTCTTAATTTTAAGATTTTACATTATTATGTATAGTAGATCTAACTGGTCCATACAAAATGTCCTCTGGACTCTTAAATTAATATTCATTTGAAATATGGAGTGTACAAATGAGGAGAAATATCTCTTATGGGACTTTATTTGAAAAAGTGGTCACAAAAATGGGAAGAATAAGGGTTCACCAAATAACCACATTGGCGCTAATGACGCATACATCAAAAAAATGAAAAGTAACCATAGATAAGAGAATAAAAGTAACATAACCAAACACTACCCAAAAAAGTTTTTTTTTATTTTTAGAATATAAAACAATTATTTTTATATATTAGAGACCCAGTCTATTGCTGCTGAATAAAAATTGATAATTTATTTCATGTGACATGAAAATAAAATTTGTATTTTTTTTTAAACCCGCGCCTTCACGTCAAATATCTATTTCTTTTGAATCATTTCCTGTTCTAAAAATTTGCGGCGCATATTTTAAATTTTAGGTTTTTGCTACAGCAGCGCCATCTTAAGTCTTCCTTTTTTTTATGACCCATTTCTTAACGGACGAAGATATTTCTCCTTACCTCTACACTCCATAATTTGAAAAAAGCAAAAAGTCTTCCGACCCAAACCTATCTTCAAAAAATAAAGTTTAATGATGTTGATTGACATAAATTTTGCTCAGTTGCCATTAAAGAGGCCAAGGTGACGAATTTCTATCGCTTGTAGTATACCATATAATAAAATTCGACTAGTCTTACATTTACCTTATAGCTTCTAGAGCATGCAATTCTCCATTGCAGGAAACTAATGCCGGTAATAGACGTAATGGTACCAGTTTCTTTCCTTGCTCTATTAGTGTTTTAACCATATGCTTAGGAATCTCTTGCATCAAAATCGGAGCGAACTGGTAGTACAACTCCAAATTATTTTGACTTTTAAGAACTTCCAATGCGTCATGGAAATTGTTTTTGAAAATATGCTGGCGGACAAGCTGAAATACAGAACAATTAATTGATTAGGTTACCATTTTCGCAACCGTTTTCTAGATTTTTTTTATGTCCGTGCTTCAACGACCATTCTCCGCAACATCCGCAAAAATATCCATCCTGTATTGCCCAGTGGCTATATTTTTGTTAGATTCAGAAATTTATTAGATTAACAGAAAAGGTATAATCTTCTCCGAAGAAAATAAAGTTTTAATTACACTCAGATGCAAAAAAACGTAACGGAGAATATATTTTTGTTATTTTTAGCTTTATTTTCATGAATTTGAAATCATGAAAGCTGTATATAATAATATCAACTTTAATTCTTAAACCTAAGTTTTATTATAAACTTTAGTACCTATTTGACATATTATACAGGGTTATGCGAGGGGTTGTTTTTATCTTAATTTTAAAACACCCTGTGCAATAATTTCGTGTGTAATTTTCCTATAATATAATTTTACGGTCAGAACCATGTCTCCTAAGCATTTTATTTTTTGGATCATGTTAATACATGCCTTAGTTAATTTTTAAGAGCGAAATGAACTTGCCACCAACAATTTACAATTTTTTCAATTATCATTCCTTTTTGAAGTTATTTTACAATATGACAAGGCGGCTTTAGTGATTACTGTAAACTATGAACTATATTCTACTATGAACTGCCCATCATGTTCGACGTTTGGGAAATGCTTGGCAGGAGGTTTAGAAGTCGCGAAGCGGTACCAGCTTCATTAAATGAACTTCACTTGGTTCTTAGAGAAGAATGGGAAAGCATAAAGCTACACGCACACTGGTGCAATCACGGCCGCGATCACGATCACGATCAGGGCAGCGATAACATGAGCGATTGTTCTAGCACACTACCTTCGCGTTCTCGTTCACCGCCGTACCTATATGTAGTGAGCTATCCTGTAGGTATACATAGGTACAAATTAAAAATGTGAATTATGTATACCGAAAAAAAAACATTCTTAAATATTTACTTACAATATTTAAACTTAAACAATAAAAAATGTATACATATGTACTATCCAATCCAATTGCAACTCCAATTTTGTATTAAACTTTTTATTTTTAATTCTATTATTTTTGTAACTTGCATCGGATAAATCATAAATATAGAATTTTGTGTATTTTTACAGCCTTTATTAGCTGCTCTGTTAACTAAATTTCTAAATTGCAACAAGAAAAAACACACAAAATAATGGAAAATTCCTATCAGTTGGGTCGCGATCACGCGATCAAACTCGACAAGTTGAATCTGATCGCCACCGCAGAATAGAACGCCGCCAGGCCGCTCCGTCTCCAAAACTCGATCGCGCCAATGTGAAACGGCTCATATGTATTCTTCAGCAACTTTTGGCCGCGGCCGCGTGGAGATCGTGATCGCGGCCGTGATCGCACCTGTGTGCGTACAGCTTTATGCAGTATGATATACTAGGGCTGGCATTTCTGGTCTTGGGTGCCTTTTCGTGTGTACGAAGAGTACGGTCAACACGCTTAGCAAAATAATATGTACTGAATAAAGACAAGTATTTTGCCAAGCGCATGGAATCTAGCGTCAGATTGAGTGGTTATGTAAAAAATACTTCGTATTTTTGCTCTCTCCGACTTACTAGATGGCCATAGCGATTCACTCCTATACATGTAAACGCCGACCCAAGGTTTCACTTGCCAGCAGGGTATACAGCCTCAGTAACAGTATGAATGGACGTATACAGGCAGTTGTAGCAGCCAAGGTAGGCAATATAGAGTATTAGGGTATTTTTTACAATTTTTTTGTTTGTTTGTCTACTTGAGTATTACAGATGTTTTCTTTAATATCGTTAGTTCTGTTATCGTTATGAATGATTAAAAAAACCAGGACCATGTATCATTAGTCTTTAACGTATTTTTTTAATTTAGTACAGAGTATCCAATGCAGTGTAATATGTGACGTTACGACAATGGTCACCAAAACCATCTCGTCCAAAGTTACATCAAAAAGTAATGATAATTGAAAAAATTGAAAATTGATGGTGATCAGTTCATTTCGCTCTTAACAATTAAACAAAGCATGTATTGACATGAATCAAAGAACAAAATGCTCAGGAGTCATGGTTCTGATCGTAAAATTATATTTTAAGAAAATTTACAGACAAAATTATCGCACAGGGTGTTTTAAAGTTAAGGTAACAAAACAACCCCCACGATTAACCCTGTATAATATGCCAAATACTAAAGTTTATAAAAAACTTAGTTTACGAATTAAAGTTAATACAATTATATACAGTTTGCTAAAAAATACATGAAAATAAGTTTTTACGGACCGGGAGTCAATAACGCTATTTTCTCTCGTTGGTTTTAACGTGGGTTATAAGATCTAAGATGAAAAGGCCTCTATAACTAAGATGTGATTGGGTTTAGGCTATTAATGAAAAACAAAATACAGCCAAGAGTTATACAGAATGTGTCTTTAAAGTAATTTAATATTAGTTCAAATATAATTTAGAAAATTATTATCTAAAATACTAAAGCAACAACATTACCTGTTCAAAATCTTTGTTAACAATAGTCAGTTTAATAAGATTACTTTTATCCCCATGGCTCTGCATCAGCTCATATATAGTATGTTTATTATTTCGTATGCAATCTGCTACCTACAACAATAAATTTAATATTTAAGCACTATGTGTGAATAAATACAACAAACGCAACCTCTCTTAAAGCCAAGAAAGTTTCAAATTCTTTTTGTATATCATCGTATGTAGCTGATTTTTCTAAACCTTGTAATCTTTTCTCTTCAAGTTTTGTTAGATATAATTCGACAACCCAAAGGACAATCATCGTTATTTGAGTTTTATCTTGTGGTTTTAAAGTGCCTAAAATGTAAAACTAAATGTTTAGTTTTTATTATCTATGTAACATACTAAGAGCTGGCAAAGGTTAGTCTTGGGTCGAGATTTCCGTATGTAAAAAGAGTACAATGCGTTTATAATGTACTGAACAAAGAGAGAACAATAAAAACGTTACCAAACGTATGAAATAAACCGAGAAACTGTGCACACTGCTAAGAGACGTGGAAGGGGATAAAGCAGATTAGTACTTAAAATTCTAGGGAAGCATGATGTACACGCGTTCATCTTCACGATTTAATTACGTCTCGTGATACTTTATTTGTCTATTTATTAACCAGTCATTGTAATTTTCCCTAGAGCTTGTAAATTTTTAAATGCAAGTTAGAACCACTTGTACTTTTGGTAAAAATAAGTGGTATTGAGTTGGTGTTCGACAGTGGTCGCGCTATTAGATCTCTGAATTCAAAAATCGATATCTCGAAATCCATTAGGAATAATTAATTGTAGTTTTTTTCACAAACGTTCTTAATATTTCTGCTATATTTTATTCGCAGACAGTATGTGAAAACCTTTATAAATTAAAAAATTACACGATTGCTGAAACCAAAAGTAAATGGCTGGGATTTTTAAAACTATTGAATGAAGCCTATCGAACTTTTCTTATTCAAACATCTTGTAAAAGTCCCCAACTTGAAAATAAAACAAAAAAAAGTTTCAATATCTAAAGTGGTTCTTGAGTTACCGCGTGTTATGTGTTAAAAAGTTGCTTTTAAATTACTGACGTTTTCTCGTCATAAAAAATGGACACCCTAACGATATCCTTATAATTCCATTTCAGTTGCTCAGAAACATATCTACTGATTTTATCTAGTTATCTTTTCGAAAAAGTTTTTTAAAAATAAGCGGTTTACGATCGTGATTTACTTTACTTGATAGGGAAAGGCGTACCGGCGAAATGTGACAACGCCGCAACAGCACACAGTCGCATTTCTCTCACTCCGACTTAATAAGATCGCAATGCGATTTACTCTCACCTATGTAAATACCGACCCAAAAGTAAGAGTTGCCAGCATGGTATACTAAGACATACTTAATTTGTTCCTTAGAAAAATCTTAAGAGAATCTGGTTGATCGACTTGCATAAATTTCAGGCAGATCTCTTCAAAAGACGACTGTGTTTCAGCATATCGTTCAGCACTAAGATGATATTGTTTTTGATCAAATAACATATCTGCTTCCTTTATCAATACCTAAGGTAAGAAAAGTAATTACTAGTATTTTCCCCAAAAATATGCAATGGAAAGAATTAGGAAGGCTACATCTCAAATGTTCTATAGGAAAGAATAAGTGTAAGCGTAACTGTGTGGCCTAAACTGCTTTGTATTAAAAAATAAAAGGCAAATTTTGTTTTTCTAAAAAGAGAAGTATACAAAGTGGCGCACCTTATTCGCCTCGATTAATGATACAAAAACGGAAAGATGTAGAAACAAAATATTTTATGGGTATATGTGGGAAGGTAATGTGCATAATTTATAATTATTTTGAAATGTATAGGGTGTGTCAGAACTAAAATCCGTACCAAAGTTATATTTTTTCTTATGAAACACCCAGTATTTTATTTCATTTTTAGATTCTAGGACATAAAATAAAGTATTGTCAAGGTGTCTGTAGCGGTAAACTGTATTACTGGTTGCATAACCGCATTACTGCTACATAACCGCAACGTGCATTGAGGAACCTGGCGAATTCGCCAGAAAGTAAAAGAAAATTACAGAATTCTTTAGAACGTTCCAGAAACGCTCGCCAGGGGGTATATAAGGCCCGCGCTTTGGCAGTCGGAGCAGTCTGAAGTTTGAAGTTTGAATATACCACCCTTTAAATTATTACGAATCGGACAATTTGGTCAAGGAATTTTATAAATAGTTAGTTATTGTATGTACAGAGTGAGAAAAAATAAATTCGTTAAGTATTTTATCGTGAGTTTAAATTAGTGGATCCACGGAATCCGTAACAGTATTTATTATAAGAGTTTCATATGCCTAAGAGCTTTAGTTTTTGAGATATTTAAAGATATTTAAATATGCACGCTATAATAAAAAAAGGTTGTTAACACCCTGTACATTACTTTTCAGAATTAATTCTTATGCTGACTTTTAAGCCAGAGAAATAAACTTTAGTAGGTAAATTAAATAAAAGTAAACTGTTATAAATTTAAATAAAGTCCATAAACGAATGTCGATTTTGAAAATAGCTACTAACTGTCACTGGAAAATTGCCATGGCGACACCAGCCATCTTGATTGCCGTTTTATTAAAAAATCGCTTTTTATTCAAAATCTGAGCTAGCTAGGTATAGGAATTCCTAATATAGCTTGAAAGATCATTTAAATCTGCTTCGACTTGTTTTAAAAATACAGAGTGTTGCATTTGAAATAACGAAGTTTTTATGTAAAATAAATATTTAAAATAGACCAGCAGTTTTTGATACCCACGCACAGTGATCTGGGGCTAGGTCATAAGTGGTCAAATCCGACATCCTGGTATCTTCCTTAACTAATGCTAATTAAACTCTTAAATGACCCCAGAGACATGACGCATTATAAGTGAATTCCTAAATTATTTTTTTTAAGTTACAGAAGGTTCATTTAGTATAATTTTGGATCGTAATCACCATAAGCCTAAAGAAAAAAAGTAAAACAAATTATAACTAAGGCAAAAATTGTTCGTGGAAGAAACTAAAGACATCTACGTGTAGGGTAAGGACTGGGCTTTTAAGCAGTATCCAAAAAAAATGGCAAGAGCGTTTTTGATTTTAAGCAAAATTGTTTTAATAAAATGTTAATTTAAAAGATGTTCTTGCTAGTTTCACAAAATTTATCTTTTAAAGTCCACCTTAGTCCGGCTAGCTAGTATGTAAGTATCATACCCCAAGGCTTACTAAGTAAATCTAAATTATATATTTACCCGCCATGACCCGCCCATGACGACAACAGAGATAAACTCTGTATAACGAATGTTGTCCGATGCGTTATTAAGGAACCAAGCATTTTTTACGGGATTTACTGGTGGAAAATTATATTTTCATCTCGAATCGTTTTAACTTATATCTTAAGTTGAATATACAGGGTGCTACAAATTCGAGGTACGAGCATTGGTATCTCGGTAATCGTAATAGGTACGAACATGATTAAATTGGGGTAAAGTTGCGCTTTAGGATTTATGTTCAGAATGATGTTCGCCAAGATGCAATCAAAAAAGCTGAGTTTTTTGGAAAAAAACGGATTTTTTTTGAAATTCAATAATTAGAAAATCGTATTTTTTTCGTATTCTTAAAATCTCTTTGTTATAACCAAAATTACTTTCAGATCACTGTGCCACGTATACATTTAAGGAAGCAATCAAATTTTTTAGTAAAGTTTATTTCTCTGGCTTAAAAGTCAACACAAGAATTAATTCTGAAAAGTAATGTACAGGGTGTTAACAACCTTTTTTATTATAGCATTATTATTTGATATTTAAATATCTTTAAATATCTCAAAAACCACAGCTTCTAGACATATTAAATCCTTATAACAAATGCCTTATTTTATGTCCTAAAATCCAAAAATGAAATAAAATACCGTGTGTTCCATAACAAAAAAAATTAACTTTGGTATCGATCACATAGTTCTGGCACATCCTGTATATTTCAAAATAATTTTAAATTATGCACATTATCTTCCCACATATACCCATAAAATATTTCGTCTACATCTTTTCGGTTTTGTATAATTAACCGAGGCGAATGAGGGTGCGCCACCCTGTATAAAACTCTACGGAAATAGATAACTGCAAATTGGTGTAACTATTTAAAGTAAATATAACTACTTACCTGGTTATAACAAGCTTCATTGCCCCTTGAATATTTCTTAGCCAAATCAAACTGTTTGTTTGCACAAAATATTTGCCAAATATTTCGTTCTTCTTTATGCACCCTAAATCTGAACATAGCATTTTCAGTAACAGCCCATATTTGACCTATTAAATATAGCAACAGAGTAACAATTGGAGTAGCATAAAAAATGTGTTAAATCAAATTAACATGATAAATATTTCTGAGGACTTAGAAAGTTAAAGCTTTATCCACAAAAGTACAAAATATTTGACCGCAACTGAAAATTTGTTTTCTTTAACTTTTTCTGCTAGAAATATTTGATCTCAAATTCTGTTATCACAACAGACATTGCGTTATATTGTACTATACCTGTTCTACTGTCTTTCAAAACACTGACTAATTTCCCAAAAGCTTCATTGTACTGGTCTTCGTACACTACCTCTTGATTTAAAAGACACATTCCTTTAATACTGTCGCTGTATGCCAGTAAAATGTGAAACTGCGTTAACGCAATTGACAGGGGATATTTTGGCGATTTTGAATAATCTTCATAAAGCGGTTTTGGGTACTCCAGTTCCTTAATTCTGCTGCTAAAGCTAGTCATGTCGTTGTCATTGGCAATATCAATCTACAAATAACATATTTGTAGCTTGTTACAAAATAAATTTTTATACAGGGACATATAAAACATACTTCCCCATAGTATATTCCTTTTTCAGTTATCCATGTAAATGTATTAGGCGTCACTAGATTCTCTGACCAAAATTGAAGTTTAGAGTACCTTAGTTTGCTCTCTGACGCTACAAAGAATACAAACACATTGCTTATTATAGAAGATAGTGTAAATATAACAAATTATCTGTTTATGTTTATAATTTAAATTTTCTCCGTTTATATAAAACAAATTATTTGGTCCTTTTATAGTAAACTGATATTGTTTGTACACCTATGCTAAAAATACACACCAGATCATCCTAAATCAAAGGTCTGAATTGTAAGAAATGATGAAGATGCCATACATGGAAATTCAAATATATGTTAAAAAAAGACAGAAGGCTATCTCATATTGTGGCTGCAGTGTGCATTCACCAATTAATAGAATGCTTAAATGCTCCTGATTTATCTGTCTGGATTTTTTATGGGGATATGCTAAAGACTGTGTTTACAAAACTCAACCAACTATTATTGTTTACAAACTCAACAACTGACGCAATATGAAAGAAATGATTGTGGCTGCTTTTCGAAGTAGTACTCCACATATGCCCCTTAGCTTGAAAAGAGAATCTTTTTATTCAGTAAACAGGAAAGAAAACATACTGATCATTTGATTTCATCTAGCTAATTTTTGTCACATAATTATACGTTTATATCTAGTTTTAATTCTGTAATAATTAAAATATGTCAATTAAACGTGTATCTTTACATTACCAGTAATTTACTCTACATCCTTTAATTTTTGTTCAACTAACAAAAGGTATATCACAGCCACCCTAGATTTTTCAAATAATAAAGATCTACTGACGCAAAATCATAAAAATTAAAATATCTAGGAAAATCTTTGTCTGAGAAGCAACCTTAATAATATTTTGAAGATATATGAATTCCCCATTGAACACCGGAATAATATACTGGGTGTTCCATTTAAAATAAAGGAGTAACTTGCTTTTTGAAAAGTGACTAATGTCACAGCCCGACTCTACTTAACAAGCCGTGAACAAGGAAATCTGGCAACCCTGGTTTCAGATCGATCGATATACATTTAGCCATATGATTTACGTTCATTGACCTGTTGCTCTGTTATGTTTCTGTAAATAAATCCGCTTTTTTGAAAGAAAATATTGTTTAGTTAAAGACTAAAGTTGTGAAAAGTCTTACTGTGTGAGATTTGTAAGTTACCGGGACAATTTTTTTCCGTAGACATTGCGTAAAAACAAATATCCGTGGGTGAAAAATTCGTCGGGTTGTAAGCGAGGTTAAGTGCTTTCTTCAAAGAATGGCGGCAAATTCGGCGGCGAATGAACATTTTGTGGTGCTTTTTAAAACAATTTATTGAAAGTAGTTATTGTTGTAATCAAAAATTACCATGCCATGTCCTTGTTATGTGATTGGGTGCAATTCCAATTATAAAACTTGTCTTGATGCAGGAGAACCAGCGGTATCTGTTATTACCTTTCCAAAGGATGAAAACCTTAAAGCCCAATGGCTTAGGAATATTCCTAGGTCACCCTCAAAATATTCTGTGGTTTGTGCTGAGCATGTTGTAGAAAGAGACATTATTAGGGAGGAGGATTATCGCTTGCCAGATGGATCAATGCAAAAGGTACCTACTTAAACTAGACTAAAGTTAAATACAGTGCCTAGTATCTTTGCAAATTTGCCACATTACTTGTCAAAAACAGTCCCTGTTCCCCGAAAAAGTCCTGCTGAAAGAACCAAAGAAATGCAAGATCGAAGTGAGCAAATAAATCTAATTATAAACTTTGACAATTTGACTTCAAATTTTAGAAATAGGATTATTTTAAATGAATCTTGGAATATTAAGATTGTAAAAGACTCTAAAGTACTTTAGAATTTCCTTTGTAATCATATTTCGGTAGGTTTGGACATGCAAATAAGTGTTTTCTTAAATAATAGTGAACTCTGTTTTAATGACGTAAAATGGGTTTTACCAATAGATATGAAATTAACCAGGTGGTCTCAACTGGAAAATGTACTTTCTCGTTATAAAAATAAAGGTTCGGACTCGGGTTCAGAATCAATAACTAATCCTCAAAATTACCTAACATTTCTTAACAAGGGGATTAAAGAACTAAAAAAAGAATTGTATTTTCTTTCATCTGAACACGAGTCTGGACACTATGAGTCAAATGAATATGATGATATTTATAGCATATTGGCACTTTTAGTTGATCAGTTAAACTGTCCTTTTACCGAGCCTTTTACAGTATCATGAAAAATTAATTTGTTTCAAAGATCTTAAATATTAATTATACTGATTTAATTATTTTAATAAATTATTTTACGACATCCTTAAATCGCGCCTTAAATTAATTTAAAAATACGCGCCTCGATAGCTGGTAAAACGGCCGTCGGGCATTCGCCCTCGCTAGAAACCGATCTGAATCTCTTGCCGGTAGCGGCGTTGCCAAATGGTTGTTCACGGCTTGTTAAGTAGAGTCGGGCTGTGCTAATGTTCCATATTAATTTTGTCTCACCCTATATTTTTTCTGGTATCAAATTTTAATTTGGTTATCATTACAAAAAACACAACTTTGATGTGTAACTTCTTTTGGGGACATCCGGTAGAACTCCATATGTGTGTCGTCTCCTGTGTCGTCTCTACTGAAGTAACGACTTGCTCTAGAAAGTTGCTTTTTTTACTAAAAGATAGCTAATTGGCTCTTCTAAAAATTGTCGTCGCCGGACTGATGTGGCGGATGCGCCAGGCTTCAACTAGCATTTTTATAAAATGCTTTCAATTAACATACATCTAACCTAACCTAGCCAAAATTTTATTTCGATATAAACTAGCGTTCTCCTTAGAGCCTCCGCGTCGTATGAGAGGCGCCACTTTGTATGTATAGTGATCTCACGAAATAAGTTGCTAATTCTATGTAAACACTAATTTAGTTTAGTATTTTTGTATCACTTTCAAACAATGTTTAAACAGAAAAAAAATAACAAGTAAGGCATCCTATTAAATTAATTTTCTTAATCAAAATTTACAGTTTGTAAACCATGTATACCACTTACCGAAAAATGTTTTTTCCTCGGGGACATTATGAAAAATATGTTGCAAAAATGATTTTTCATCGTTCTCACTCCTACCGGTAAAGTAATATAATCTTGAAGGAGTCGCCGCAAAAATGACATATTTGTCTGTTCCCAATACTTGGAAATACTCCAAAGCCGTAATTGGAGTGTCTGTATTCTTTCCAATATCAAAAACCTATTTAAATCAAAATGCCATTAGAATTTAACACGTCTAGAATGTCATTACAATCTAATCTCACAGAAGACATTCAAACAATGAGAGAAGGACAATATAACCATGAATTAAAAATACAGACAAGGTACCGTTAGTAATGACATATTTTTTTTCGCCAGACAGACTATTCTTGATAAACATGCAAAATATTTATTCCAGAAAAATTAAATTTGATTTATATAGTACCAGAGCTGCAAGCTCACAGAAAACTTACGTCTTTTTTTTATTTAAATCATTTTAATGATTTAAGTCATTTGATTTTAAGTAATTTTTCGAAAGCTGACTTAAGACTTAAAATTTAAGTCTTTTTCAAAATGATTTGTGAGTTAAGTTTGGTTTGCGGTAGTAATGGCCTTTTATATGCCTTGAGGAGTTTAGTTGATGTAAATAATATCTGTTTATATATTTATAATTAATTTATTTTTGTTTCCTAAAATATTTTGATTAAAATAAAATATGTAAAAGTGGGCAACGCTGCGTCAAGCTTAATCACGTGACTCAAAGTTTATTTGGTATGAACTGTATTTGAACCTGTTGTAATTCTTTTTTTATATAAAAGTGAATTAAATCATGAATATGACAGCTTCAGAGCAGTAAAAATCTCACCCACCCAAACTTTCCAAACACTATGCAAACCACTATATACCTTTTTTTTGCTATGTATATATTTTTTGCCATTAGCAAAGCTAATAAATCCTAAAGAAAAATGATTCCCTACATGCTTTTGTTTTTCCCCATTCAGATTTTGATATATTTACTTACCAAACCTTCAATCTCCTTATTAAGGTACAGAGGTAAATAGTTTGGAAGCTTGTAAAAAATAAATTCAGAACCACAATATAATTGTTAATTAAACATACTCACCTGTTTCCAATATTGTTCCAAACTTGATGAGAAAAACTTATCTCCTTCAGCCACAATTTCTGTTTCAAATATAAGTCCTTTGGATGTTCCTGGAAAGATTAAACCCATATTTGTGTAAAATGTTCACATTGATTCAAAAAATATTAAGTGTGTCAAATCAGAGGACCATTTTGACATCCAAAAATTGTCAGAAAAATTAGTTCTGAATTAAAAAAAAACAGACAAGTGTCACTGACAAGTCTTTCTTTCATTAAATATATTATAGACAAACAACTTTTTATCACTAAATTCTGCTCACATGTTGAATTAATATTTTCATATTTTCTCTTTAAAATAAAATAACCTTAATCTAAAGTGTGATTAAACTTGCCAGCTACCTAATTATTTAATTATAATTTATGCGAATGTAGTAATATGGCATTGTTGACAACAAATATACAAGGAGGGATTACATATTATGTCCAAATGCAAAGGTTAGCATACATCCATGATACAAAGAAAACAAGGTATGATCGATAGCGGCTCCAATAGGTTTGTTCTCACAGCGTGTTCCCAACATGTTTGTGACTTCTTCCAAACCAATGTTAATGCGCAGGTCTCAAATAATGTAGTTTCTGATCGATTTCAAACTGTCTGTGTGAACAGCGAATTGAGCGAATCCCCTACTCTTCTTTTTTGATCTAATACCACTAATTTTAACTCCTACGTAATACAAACAACTCCGCCTGCGCGATAACTGGGTGGACCGAGAAGCTCAGTGGTCGTGTTGCCGGTCCTAAGCCCGGAAAAAGGAGGAAGGTTGTCGGGCCAGGTTATCTCCCTACCCGATGTAAAAAAGAACCACGGCTCACAGAACCGACACTCTGCCTCGGAAAACGACTGATTTATTGATGATGACCCACGCAAGAAAAAGGATAACGGCCTGGAAAAAGGAATGTATACTGCGCTTTGCCACCTGGAACATAAATTCATTTAACAACAAAGATCAAGAAACCCTAAAAGAACTTAAAGATAATAAAATCGATATATGTGCCCTACAGGAGACGGAAAAGAAAGGTAAAGGTCAATTACAATACGATGACTATCTAGTGATCTACAGCGGAGTTGAAAAACAAACAAGGGCAAAAGAAGAAGTAGCAATCGCAGTAGCAAGAACGTACCAATCAAACATACGGGACTGCAGTTATGTATCCTCGCGAATCTTGGTCGTAAGAATGGAAACAGAAGATCAAAAACTAAATATAGTGTCAGTTTACTCACCTGACAATAAACCAAAACAAGAAAGGGAGTCCTTCTATGATCAACTCCAAAATACAATTCAATCATTGCCAAGCGATCAACAAATATTAATTCTTGGAGATTTCAATGCCCACATCGGAATCAAATAATCCCTGGAATCAAGCAGAGGTTTAATGAAAATGTACTGAATGAGAATGGAGAACTTATGATCGACTTATGCACATTCAATGAACTACGTATTAACAACACATTCTACGACCATAAAGAGCAACACAAATTCACATTTAGCAATACTAGAGGCCACATATCTACAATTGACTATATTGTTACAAACAGCTATATACATCCACTTCAAATATTAGATACCAGAACGCTGAACTCAGCCGATGTAGGAAGCGATCACAGTCTGCTACTTGCAAAAATCAAATTAAAATTTAAACCTCATAAGAAACTAGGACAAGCAACTCAAGAAGTTAAGATAAACATCGAATCGCTATAGGACTTGTCGATTAACAACTATATGAGAAAAGACTGACAGAGAAAATCCAAGTAAACCCAATAAAAGCAGAGGATAGCATAAATACCTCCTGGGAGAAACTAAAGAACAACATCAAAGAGGTGCATGTGTCAAAGAGGTGCATCCGCATGTGAAGCTTTAGGCACCCGGACTATAAAAAGAAATAATAGCACCAAAATAAATAAAACTACGTTGTTCCGCCCAGAAATTAAAGAAAAATGTAGAGAGAAACGTTCGACCGTGTGCAGCTAAGAGACGTTGTACACCTTCTTTACAATAGGCAAATCCCACCTCGTTAAAACCATACAAAACATATATGAAGTGAACCAAATTCAAGCTAAAATTAACGGGGTCCTGACCGAACCAATAAATGTAGGCTGTGGTATCCGACAAGGTGACTCCCTGAGCCCTCTTCGCTTACTGAAGGGATACAGTATGGGCTACCAGGAAATTACTATTCTATGCTATGCCGACGACGCCGTATTGGTAGCTGAAAATGAGAACGATCTACAGCGCTTATTACATCGATTTAATTGCACTGCCAAATCACTTAATATGATAATATCGACCCAGAAAACTAAATGCATGACGACATCAAAAGTACCACTAAGATGCAAACTGGAAGTCGAGGGCAATGTTATTCAGCAAGAGATGAAGTTTAAGTATCTAGGCATACTTCCCCTAGGAGATGCAAGACCTTGTCGTTGGTGGGGAAGCTCCTTGTCAGGTGCTGGCAGAATCTCCTCTAGCACTTTGGCTCGGTCCTTTCTTTGGCATCTCACTCATTGTCTTGTCTCTGGCTGTAGTGGCCAGGGAATTGCACCAAGACATTTAAACCAGGCACCTTCTAGTGTCTGTGGGCATGTTTCGCGGGTAGAGGGTGTGGGGGGGTCTTGGCTTAACCGCCTGGACCAAGAGGAGACAACCTCACCAAAAACCTAAATCCTACGATGGCGGGGCCAGGTCAAAGGGATGCGTGGCTAGATAGAGGACTAGCCATTACTGGTCTCAACCTTGGGGCATCAGGGGGCACCCCATTGTATTTACCCCTTACTTCTACATGCGGGGCTCTGTAGAAGTGGACTGACTATCCCTAGCGACTCGTGGGAACACTATGAGATCCAGAAATAACAGTAAAAACACCACCGGAGAAGCTGTGGGGAAACCCCCTAGCGACACTGGGAACAGGAACAATGAAAGTTCCAAGGGGTCAAACCCCCCAAAGAAAACTACAGGAGAGGTGGCTGACACTTGCGCGGGACCGTCCTGCGCTAGTGGCACTCAAGCTACCACCTCCTAGAGCAAGGGTCGGGAGCTTACCTCTAAACCCAACATCCTTTCTCCCTCCCCCCCCATGCATGGGATATCCCAAATAAACCTGCACCATGCAAAAGGGTCTTCCGCTACAATAGCAAGACTCTTTGAGAAAAATCATTATGCAATGGTACTAGCCCAGGAACCATGGGTGTATCAGGGACAAATTAGAGGTTTGTCTGGAAAAAATTCAAAGGTAATATATGATAACAGGCAGGAATTTCCCCGAGCCTGTATTCTTATAAGAAAGGACATTAACTACACATGTGTTTCAGAATTTACAACCCGAGATCTTGTTCCTATCATGGTTCAGCTTAATATCGAGGATTCAGTAAAACATCGTGATTGCCTCTGCTTACTTTCCGGGTGACGGGAGGCACCGCCTCCGGAGGTACGGGAGCTCGTGCGATTCTGCAGCCAACGGCGACTACCTCTGCTATTGGGATGCGACTCCAATACACACAATGAGGTATGGGGAAGCACTAACACTAACACTAGAGGTGAGTGTTTACTTGAATTCCTCTTAGCATACAATCTTGAAGTTCTCAATGTAGGGAACAGCCCCACGTTCGTGACAAAAACGCGGGCAGAAGTATTAGATTTAACAATCGGGAGTGCTAGTGTAATCAGTTACGTGAAACACTGGAGGGTCTCAACGGAACCCTCCCTATCAGATCACAGAATCATCGAGTTCATATTAGGAGGAATCACACTCCAAACAGAAACTCGAAGGAATCCAAGAAAAACAGACTGGGACATATATAACTCCAATCTCGTAGACAACCTAAACCGTATAGATGCAAGTAGGGCCAGAAACCATCTGCATCTAGAATGGTACGCAAGGGAAGTCAGCGGTGCAATATTGGATGCATATGAATCTAGTTGCCCCGCAAGTAAAGGCATACAGAAAAGTAACAACAAGCCCTGGTGGAACAAAAAGTTGGCCAAACTTAGATCGGAGGTCCGACGACTTTTTAATAGAGCTAAATCCAGTGGCGAATGGCAGCTCTACAGCGAGAAATTAACTGAGTATAAGTCTGACTTTAGATCCTTTTGCGAAAACATCACTTCTACTCCTGATGCAGCTAGATTACACAAAGCTATGGCCAAGAGTGGATCTATCCCCAACATGGCACTTAAGAAATCTGACGGAAGCTACACGGAGGGAGAGGAAGAGAGAGCAAATCTCCTACTTTATACACACTTTCCAGGTAGCATACCTATTGATACTAATGTAGCTCCCACTGAACCCCACAATCCTTGCAGAGAAGATTGGGAAGTGGCCAAGCTAGTAATAACAGAACAAAAACTGAAATGGGCGATCGACACCTTTCAGCCCTATGAAGCAGCAGGAGTGGGATCTTTCCTGCCCTTCTAAAGGAGGGTCAGCAAATAGCTACTCACCATCTACTAAGCATTACAAGAAGCAGTCTAGCGAGGGATATATACCAACCACATGGAGAAGAGCAAAAGTAATCTTCATACCCAAAATAGGCAAAACTGACTGGACAAATCCCAAGTCATTTAGGCCTATTTGTCTCACATCGTTCATACTAAAAACGCTGGAGAAAGTAGTTGACAACCATATTGGAGAAAATCATCTAAAGGTTAAACCACTGCATGATAGTCAGCATGCATATAGAACGGGCAGATCCACAGAAACTGCTCTGTACCAATTAACGGAGCTAATACAGACAAGTCTGGATAGCAAAGAAACAGCAATTTGTGCCTTCTTGGATATTGCGGGGGCGTTTGACAATATACCACATAAGGTGGTCAGGCGATCTCTAGAAACAAGAGGGGTGAACAGAACTATTATTCGCTGGTTTTGGGAAATGCTGTCAACACGAACAGCAGAGGCTCAGATGGGCACCAAAACTGTAGCTGTTAAAACAACGCAAGGAACTCCACAAGGTGGAGTAACCTCCCCTTTGCTGTGGAGCTTGGTGGTGGATGAACTACTAGATGAATTAACTCTAGCGGGAATACACTGCATTGGGTATGCAGATGACATAGTCATGATCGCTCGGGGGAAACATGAAGGCACCTTGTGTGATATTATCCAAAGAGGACTCCGTATCACTGAGAGATGGTGTAGGACTGTCGGGCTGAGTATCAACTCAGACAAAACCGCGATAGTGCCATTCACCAGAAGGCGAAGTCTGAAAAACTTGAAAAGAATCCAACTAGATGGAAAGGAAATACTGCCAACACAGGAAGTTAAATACCTGGGAATAACCCTGGACAGTAAACTCCTGTGGAACAGGCATATTAAGAACACTACCAGCAAAGCCATAAAGGCTCTCATGATATGCAGAAGACTGGCCGGAAATAGATGGGGCTGCTCCCCTAACATTTTGCGCTGGATGTATACCATGATAGTAAGACCCATGATTACTTATGGAGCAGTTGCCTGGTACACAAAACTGAGCAACGGACGGCAAGGCTAAACCTATGCAAAGTCCAGAGACTAGCATGTGTTTGCATCACAGGAGCCATGAGAACCTGTCCAACAGCAGCAATGGAGGTCATTCTAGATCTAACACCACTGCACATTGTCATTGGTAGATATGCCAATGCGACAATGATTAGAATGGTCACTAACGGAATTAGTACTGGGAGAATTGTCAGATCAGGGGCTTGGAACACCCTCAAAAAGGAAATACCACTCCTGCAACTCCCAGTGGACGATATGCCAAGAACGTACAACTTTGACAAACATGTCAATGTAGTATTGAGCAATAAGAAGGATTGGAAGAGCGAAACGCTTGCCCAGCAGTTAAAAGACCATACCATAACTTGGTATACTGATGCTTCCAAAACCAATACGGGAACAGGGATCGGAGTGTTTGCGCCGAGAGCTAATTACTCCGAACCAATGGGCACTTACCCTAGTATCCTACAGGCAGAAATCTACGCTATCGAGAGATGCGTACAACTTATCTTAGATAGGAACTATCGGAAACAAGAAATAGCCATCTTATCTGATAGTCAAGCAGCGTTAAAGGCGATCAACTCAGTATCAATCGATTTGAAATTGGTCAAAGAATGCATAGAGAAGCTGAATAAATTAGGCAAAGAAAACAAAGTCCTCCTACACTGGGTGCCTGCTCACCAAGGGATAGAAGGCAATGAAAAAGCAAATAATCTAGCTAGGAAAGGAGCGAACACTCCACTAACTGGACCAGAACCGTTCTGCTTTCCAGTGGTAACCAACTCAAGGCGGAACTCAAGAACTTGGAAGATTCCATCCGCAACCTGGAATGGAAATCTTGCAATGGTCTAAGACACTCGAAGAAGTTTCTGAGGGCTTATGATCAAGAAAAATCACAGATCTTCCTGGGTCTGAGTAAGAACAATCTTCGGATTGTCACGGGGTTTTTAACAGGACACTGTCTCCTCAATGAACACCTCAGTAGATTGAAACTAAGAAGAAACGGCGAATGCAGATTCTGTGGGGAAGATGGTGAAACACCAGTACACCTCATCACTGAGTGCGCCGAGACGACAACCATTCGTGCCATGAACTTTGGTACGACTGATATTGGAGATGGAGAACTACCCTCTATAAAACCGTCCCAGATACTGGCTTTTGTCAAAGCCCTGGGACTGTATGATGAGTTATGATTCAAGAAAGGGGGACACAATGGATCTGTAAGGTCGAAGTGATTAACCCCCCTCCCACTCATTCTAAATTCTAAAAAAAAAAATCTAGGCATAGAAATCTCAGGATATAGTGATGTAGAAGCGGAGGTGCGAGAACGGACAACGAAGGCAACCAGAATAGCAGGATGCCTGAATGATACAATATGGCGAAATAAAAACATTGAGGTGGAGACTAAAGCGAGAATTTACAAGGCAACGGTACGACCAATAATGGCATACACTGCAGAAACTCGACCAGATACAGCGAAAACTAAACAACTACTAGAAACAACCGAAATGAGAGTACTACGCAGAATAGCTGGAAAGACGCTTCTGGACAGGGAGAGAAATGAAAGCATAAGAAGAGCGTGCAAGGTGGAAAATGTAAATAAGTGGGTACTCAGCAGAAAGGAAGAATGGAACGACCATATCAGCAGAATGGACAACAGAAGGATAGTGAGAGTTGCACGCGACAAATCACCGCTAGGTCGCGGAAGCTTAGGACGTCCACGAAAACGATGGAGCGACAACTTGTCAGTCTGACCGGTAGAGACGACGAAACCAAACAGGCGATTCGCCTAGTATGAAGAAGGAAGAAGAAGAATAAGAGAAGAATAATACAAACAAGGGCAATACCGAATAAAGAAGAAAACAAACAGGGAATTAACCAAAGACATCTTTTAATGTTTTTGGTTTTATTCTTTTTAATGTTTTGTAATTTTGATTCTTGGGCCTGACCCGTTCCTCCATCAGCTCTTCTAGGTCTGTGTCTGTCTAGGTTGATAGTGAATTTTCTGTGTGAACAGCGTACTGTTGGTTGGAAACCAATCAAAAATTTCTGTGCGAATGCGTTTTACCCTATTGCGCATGATTATCTGTTGGAAATATGTTTCTTACAGCTGTGAGAACAAACCTAATATCGTTCAGTTCGCGCATATCACTTGTGACGTCACTACGCCATACAAGTAAATCCATATTGTTCAATTGCCACTAATAAAAAGCGTCCCGACCAATGGTGTCGATATCACCTATGACGTAGTGACCAACATGCGCAATATCATACCTCGTTTTCTTTGTATCATGGCATACATCTGTCTACTCACCAAGTAATATCAAACCAGTGGTTGCAATTGATTCGTTTGTTTGATTCCAGCCCACTGCAGTTATTTCACTGCCACGAAACTAGAAAAAGCAAAATGACACTAAATCAAGTATACTTTTTAACTGAGAATAATAGTTATTCATACACGGGCCCTACTAGTATATATGTAGTAAAAAAACTCAATTTTAGTAAGGATGCATTCAGTAATCACCGAATCTATACTAATCTATAAAATCCTTAAGTGACTGACATACTGATTAATCACGATCCTGCTCAAATGCAGAGGTTCGATAAGAACGGATTTTTCAAAATTCCAATTCCAAGAGGGTGAAACCACCCCTCAAACATTACAATATTTTTATTTAAAAAACGGTCAAGTTTCCGAAAAAAAAATATTTAAATATTTTAAGATATTTTAAAAATGTATACAGGGTGTTACGAAAAATCGGGTCATTGATTAATCACGATCCTGCTTAAAGCGCTTGACGTAAAAAGCTGATTTTTGGAAAACAAATTGACTCTAGGGTGTAGAGGTTCGATAAGAAGAGATTTTTCGAAACTCGAATTCTAAGGGGGTGAAACTATCCCTCAAATATTTAAATATTTTTTATTTAAAAACCGGTGAGTTTTTCAGAAAAACTCTTAAACACGTATATTTTATTTTATTGTTTTACATATTTTAAAATTTTTTATAAATTTATACAGGGTGTTTCATAAAATATAACCATTGAGTAATCACGATTCCGCTTAAACTGCTTGACATTTAAAGCTGATTTTTGGCAAACGGATTGACTGTAGGGTGTAGAGGTTCGATAAGGAGGGGTTTCTCGAATCTCAAATTCCAAGAGGGTGAAATTTAAATATTACAAATCCCCCCTCAAGTATTACAATATTTGTTATTTAAAAAACGGTTAGTCTTTCAGGAAAACGCTTGGACATGCCTAATTTATTTTGTTTTTTTACATAATTTGAAATTTTTGAAAAAAGCATACAGGGTGTTTCAAAAAGTTGGGTAATTGATTAACCACGATTCTGCTTAAACTGCTTGACGCAAAAAGCATATTTTTGCAACGGATTGGAAAGCAAACGGATTTTTCGAATGTCAAATTCCAACGAGATGAAACTACCCCTCAAATATTACAAAGTTATATAATAATATCGCCATATTGTTTTTTCTCATGCTGACATAAATGTGAGAAAATTTTATCCAGTTTGTATGTTAATGGAAATTCTTTATCATCACCATTACAAATGATTAATTCGACGCGAACGAAGTCGCTGGTACACGCAAGAGTTATTCTATAAAAGCATAGCAAAAAAATGTCTTTGTAACAGATAAAAACAAAATAAACATTAAAATCAGATATATGCAGACTTTTGATCAAAAGTTGAATAGAACATGTTGGATACAATGAAAATATTGTAACATTTTAATAATGTTGCGTTCTTAAACGTAATAATTGATTTCAAAATAATTAATACACTCAGAAAAACGCAACGGAGAAATTTTTGGTCAAATTTAAAGTGCTATATTTTTGTTATTTTTACAGAACCATGTCTCCTGAGCATTTTGTTTCTTGGATCATGTCAATACATGCCTTGGTTAATTTCTAGAAGCTTTTTCAATTATCATTTCTTTTTGAAGTTATTTTTCAATATGACAAGGCGGCTTTGATGGTTATTGTGAACTATTTACTACTATGAACTGCCCATAATGTTCGACGTTTGGGAAATGCTTGGAAGAAGGGTTAGAGGTCGTGAAGCGGTACCAGCTTCATTAAATGAACTTTGCTTGGTCCTTAAAGAAGAATGGAAAAACATAACGCAATATAATATATGCAACCTCAATGATAGTATAAACGGACCTATACAGGCAGTTATAGCAACCAAGGGCGGCATTAGAAAGTATCAAGGTATTTTTTACATTTTTTTTTTGTTTGTATAATTAAGTATTACAGATGTTTTCTTTAATATCGTTAGTTCTGTTATCGTTATTAATGTTGATTAAAACTGGGGCTGTATCGTTAATCTTTAACGTTTTTTTTTAATTTACTGTAGATTATCCAATACAGCGTATTATGACTTTACGACAATAGTCACCAAAACCATCTCGTTATATTAAAAAATTACATCAAAAAGTAATGATAATTGGAAAAATTGCAAATTGATCGTGATCAGTTTATTTCGCTTTTAAAAAATTAACCAAAGCATGTTTTTACATGAATCAAAAAATAAAATGGTCAGGAGTCATGGTTCTGACGTTAAAATTACATTTTTGGAAAATTTACACACGAAATTATTGCACAGGGTGTTTTAAAGTTAAGGTAAAATGCAACCCTATCGATTAACCCTGTATAATATGCCAAATACTAAAGTTTATAAAAAACTGAGTTTACGAATTAAAGTTGATATTATTATAAAAGCTTGCTAAAAAAATCATGAAAAAAAAACAAAAATATGACACTTTCAATTTGACTAAAAATTTCTCCTTTGCGTTTTTTTTGCATCTGAGTGTAAAAAACTTCCAATTTTTGTAATTTGAATTAATTCAATTATTTGAACCTCTTTAACCCTCAATTTCAAATAAAACAAAACATATGATTTGGAACTCTCCAATCAAAGTGCTCACAGCCTTGACCAAGCACAGGAAACTTCCTACGATCCAAGAATAGATTTATGTGAAAAGTGCATTGAAATTCTATATCCATCCTTCAATATTAAGACAAGAATTTAAGCAGTACCTCCAGTACATTCTTTTATAAGTATATGGTCTCAAATAAAGAATTCCTATGTATTAATATTTGATCTGAGGGGTGTGGTACCAATGTTTAATATTAATTTTGTCACACCCTGCAAAATTTTCATACACAATTTTAATTTGGTTTAATGTACCACAATTTGTTTAACATTACAGAAAACTGTACAGGATAAATTGTAGGTTTAGGTTATTTTTATTCAAGTTCAAATATGATCTTAATTTTTTGAAAATGCTAAATAAAAATAAACTGATCTTATATTTCTTATAGATCCCTTTCAATCCAGGTAAGTCTTAAAATGTCTTATAATATCATTCTGTTTCACATTATACACAAACATAATAGCTAATATACCTACCTTTGTAGTAGATTTCAATTTATCAGATTTTCGAGATAAATACATCAGTTCTGGACTATCAACCTTTGCATTTTTTGGAGTAAACGTCAATAACAAATGATTACCAGTTGGATCCAAGAATATGTTGGCTAATTTGTTCTGAGTGTATTTGGACAATGTGATTTCTAAAAACGAACAATGTAAAATTATTAAATATGCTACACTTCTTTAGAAAGAGAATAAAGTAACTATCTTTTAATATAATGATTTAAAATTATAACAAGGATTATGGGAATTATAAAGGGAATATTTACACTAATAAGTAGCAATAACATTCGCTAATTTTAGTATAGAAAATTTTGTTAATAAATCTTATTAATAGGTAATTAATATTCCTATGGCTGTTGGTCTAGACAGATTCCCATTAAAAATATTAAAACTGATGATACCTACCACCTCTTTCCATGGGATTATGCAAATTCATTCTAAAAAGAACATTGTTGGCCATAACGACTACCATAAATTTATTGGATATAGCTACATGTGTTATCTTATCTAATGGTGAAAATTCTTTCTTAGATTTAGTAAAAATCGGAATCTCTTGATCCATTGTGACATTGATATATCCCAGATTGCTCTGAAAGTTCAAATATATTAAAATATAGGAAAGTACACTGATCTGACGAAAATATCAAACACCGTTAATACATTTTGGTAAAATTCAAATTTACACAATATTTTATATACTGAGAAATATTTAGTAAAATAGTTGATTAAATACAAACTTACCAATTGAGCAGATGTGAGATTTGCGTTTTTTGTCTTTACTGATGCCTGTTCGAACTGATCAAATAAGGATGTCATCTTAGGGGTTTAAGATTAGTGTTGCACAGAAATATTATAAAAAATACTAGATCGCCAATGTTAAAAATGTTATAAGATCATAGTTCTAATTAATTTTTCATGCCCCAAATCGTAATTCAAAATTCAATTTGCTCAATCAACAAAAACCATGGACAAAAACAAAGCAACACAACCTCAAAATATCTTGTCCAATCTTGTCACTGACACTGACGCTGACAGCCGCTGACAGCATAAAATAATAAATACAGCTGACAGTTAACAGATGTTAATTTACAGTTTTCGATAATTAAGTAACTTCACCAATATGTCGGTAGATGTAGCACAAGATGTGGCAATACAGAAAATTGTTATCTGTGGCAATGTCTAAAGAATACAGGGAGGACGCATGGTACAAAGAATACAAGGTATGATATTGCGCAGGTTGGTCGCTACGTCACAGGTGATAACAGGCGCTATTGGTCAGCACGCTCCGCGCGCCAGTTCAAATCGTCAAGATATTCTTATAAACCTGTTTTTTTGTTTATATACCGTCATTGAATGTGCGTATACCGTCATTGAATGTGCGTAAGGAGTCGGGTTAGAAAGCAAGAGACCGGAGTTCGAAACTCGGCCGGGACCATAGACAAACTAACTAAAGCAAGACGCGTCAACGCTGTACTGCAAAACGGTAACAAGTTTGATAAGAGTTTATTACCGCGCTTGCGTCAACTGGCCTTTTAGACGGGGACGGTTTACTTATGGATTATGTCAGGGCCATGTAAGTGAAATATTAAAAATGGTTCCAGCAAAAGTTTCACAATTATGACGGATGATGGCGCTGATCGTCAAAATTTTTGGACAGGGATTTTGCTTACCGACAATACGACGTGAGCTACGACAGGACAGGACCAATCAGAATGAATGATCAGTCTTTCTTGAACATTTGCCGCGGTAGTGTGTGTTAATTTCTGTTGTGATAAGTGTGGTTGTGTTTGCAGTTTGATTTTTCGGTTTTGATATTATGTTATAATTAATTTTGAAGTATTGTATCACCTGGTTTTATGTAATAGTACTTTTTTTAGTTCTATGATCTGATATGTTATGATTTGTTAATGTTTGTTTAACAATGTTATACCAAAGAGGTTATACTTAATATACTTATCAATTTGCATAGCCTAACTTTTTTATCAATAAACTTTGTAGATTTTCAGATTATTTAATTCCTTTTGTTTCCTGTTTGTAATTTTATTTTTAAGACATATTATGTGATTGTTTCACATAATATGTTTTAAAAATAAAATTGCAAATAGCGAATAAAAATAATTAAAATAAAAAAGTGTATTTTACAATTCCCCCCGGCCCCGCACCCCTTTGGCTAACCTATAATGTCAGCTATGTCGAGAGATGGCGTTACGAAAATGGAACCGATTTATTACAAGGAACTTGGGCTTCTTTTTCGTTAGTATATTCTGTGGATTATGTATTTTGTAGTAGCCTTTTAGACAAGGATGTTTAATTAAAAAGCGTTTATTAAAATCAAATAAATTTATTTCCATCGGTAAAATAAACAATAATTTCTGGACATAATAGATATAAAAACAAAAGTTAAATAAACGAAAACGTATTCCTCTTATTAAAATAACAAAAAAGATGATAAAAAAACAACAGTTATGGTAAACGAAATAAAAGCATTCTTCAAAAGGTACAAAAAAATAATTATGTATATTATAATATTAATAATAGGAACAACAAGAAACATCTTAAAAATATACAACTTTTTCAAATATAAAACAAAAACATAAACTTCACATTTTCACAAGAATTTGCAAAAATATTAACATTTCGAGTCTATTATAAAATATAAAGCACGAAAATTCAAATCATAAAAAGATTAAAAAGATAGAGATTCTTATAACTTACAGTCAATTTGTAGGACCTTCGTTTTGTCTACGTTAGCGATGTAATCACAATAATATGTATAATCACAGTAATTATTATGTTCTTCATAAATGTAAAATGTATTAAATTATTTGTTTTCGTTTTGTACGCTAATAGAATAATAGTAATAACCAAACAAAACGCAAAATCAGGAATTCAACAGTTCGTTCAAGGCAAAAACGTTTTTCGTTTTATTTAGGTTAGGTTGGACGAGTGCGACTGCGCAATGATTTCTGACTCAACTGGCCAGCGCAAAAACAATAATTCGACTTCCTCAATCCTTTGAAAAGTCTTGCTTTTGTTAGTTTGTCTATGGCCGGGACATAACTTTTTTTTTTTTTTAAATACTGTTGTATTCTATAGTTTATTTTTGTAGTATAAAAAAAAGAACTATTTATTCTGTCATTTTTTAATCTCCGTTATTAATATAAATTGATTGTTGGTACAATCGGTACAATACCTCATTTAATATAAAATAATATTCTACTTTTTGAAATGTATCGGGTCCTAATTGTACCTAAAAGTAATATATTTTTAGTGATGTACCATATTGTAAACTATTTAATATTTCAGTCACTTAAAAAGTTAATTTGCATTGAGTAATTGTCTACCATTAAAGGAAATTTGAGCTATAATATAATCCTCGATGGGCATATTCTGGGTATGCAAATACTTCATCTAAATTTTGGGTGTCGTTCAACCAATTTATTCTCAAAACCTGAAACATCTACATATAAAAAAAAGCACAGGTCACTAATTATAATAAACTTCACCCTTGGAATTACTTCTATCACAATTACAATACGTTCATCTGCATTGGCATTTTCTACTTTTCGATGGGAAACAATAAACTTCCCAGCATTTTTTAAATGATGTAATAATTCCTCTTGTGGTTACTTTTCCATAGATAACCTCATCTCTGTCCTCATGTGAATTCAGAGGCAATGAACATGAAAATTATTTACCATAAACATCGCAAACTAAAAACCTAATAAACAATTTTATACCGAATATAGAAATAAATTTAGTATTCTTACCTAAGGCTATTATCGACCAAATCCATGTTAATAGGTAATTATTATTTTTAAATATATTTTTGGAACTGCTGCTTTTAGTAATTATTAAATTAAATGAACTAGAAAGTCTTAAAAATAAACAATTCTTAACCATAACCCCAAAAAATGCAGATCTCCTGTCAACTTTCTTTATTTTTTATTTATTCATTATTTTCATAGTGACGTCACAGGTGGTATGCGCGAACTGAACGAAATTGGAGCCGCTATCGATCATACCTTGTATTCTTTGTACCATGGGGAGGACGCAGAGATATGGAAGTTGTGTATGGAAGTGGTTGTGATCTATTTCTCTGGGAGGACGTAACGCCCAATACGGGCTGTAGCAGAATTTGTAATGTCAGACGCCATTTTTTTGGTTGTAACGACGAGTCATCAGCTGGTCGTCAGCCTTGGTCGTCAGCGGCAATTTTAGCGATTTTTAATAATTTGTGTGTTGTAGTGAATTGTAGTGAACTGTGTATAAACTTCATTACAATGGTGAATAGTTTTCTGATTGATATTATATGTATGTACTTGATATTTATGCTATACGTCGATCTGTACCGATACTAGTTTTGTACCTTTTGTTAACATTTTAATACGTTTTTTTTTTTCGTATAACTCAATGACTAAAGAATATAAGGACATGTAACGCCCATATACGGGCTGCAGCAGAATTTGTGACATTTGACGCCATTTTTTTGATGGTGACGAATGAGTCATCAGCTGATCATTAGCGACAATTTTAGCGATATTTAATAGTTTGTGTATAGTGAACTTTGCATAAACTTTATTACAATGGCGATTATAAATAGTTGTTTAGCTTTCAAATGTAAAAGCCGCAGCGATAAGAAAGAGCCAGGAGTGACGTTTCATAGGTAAATAAACAGTCCGCTCCACCTTTTTAGCGTTTTCTTAGTTTTCTTATTAAATTCGATAATTATTTTTCTGATATTATATGTACTTGATGTGTGCTATACGTCGATACTAGTTTTGTACCTTTTGTTAACATTTTAATACGTTTTTTTTCGTAATTAATTAGTATGATACCACCGTATTCACCATAGGCGTAGTCAAAACAATTATTAAAAAATATAAATATCTCTTCAAACAGCTAAGTTAAGAAAAATATGTGCCACGGCACTGTTTCGTGACATGGTAACAATTTGCTCTCGTGTGTTATTTGTCCTTGAATTCTTTAATCATTGGTATAACTAGTATGATACCAGATGATACCACCGCATACACCATAGGCTTAGTCAAAACATTCATCAAAAATATACATATCTCTTCAAGCGGCAATGTTAAGAAAAATGTGTACCACGGCACTGTTTGGTGGTATGATAACAATTTGGTGGCAGGTGTGATACATCCTTGTATTTTTTTTTTTACCTTTAGTCATTGATCTGTGGTCATAAAACGGGACTTCACCGAAAACTCAGCAGCGTCTCGTTAATATTTTTAGTATATAAAAAAGCGCTAAAAATATTCATGTAAAATTAAAAATAAAGGGTTAAGCTTTTAAATTTTGTTTTATTATCTTTATTTTCGTCTATTGACGTACTTAATAGAAATAAAATATATTATAATATAATATAGGTAATCAATTTTTATTAAAAGATGTACATATTCCGTTGGCTTTTTGAAGTCGTATATTGTATTATTTTTTTTAATGATTTTGTGATAAAATCTTTATTATTCTTTTTGAAATATGAATCAGTATTAAAAAATTACTCAGCGTTTTGATGGATGTATCTTGACGCCTTCTGATGTAAAAAAACAAAACTATTTGTAAATTTTGTAGATGTAGACTATCTAAAGTAAATAGGTACCTAATATAGTTTTGATTTCAGGACAGTTCTTGTATGTTTAATAATTTCTTTAAGAAAGGCTAAAAAATATATATTTTTTATTTATTTATTTTAATATCCCTGAAAATATCGAAATATATTTACTTATATTTAAGGTTATATAAAATGATTTGGAAGGAAGCCAAAAATTCAATAATATAAATTTCCACTTAAAAAAAAATTATCCCGATCCACTCAGACTTTTTTGAGCCAACTTTTTTGAGCCCCAAGTTAAAATATTTTCCTGAAATACATCCTAGTATATACTTTAAGGGCGGTTTACACGCTACGAGAAATCGTAACAATGTGATTGACAAATTTATGGTTCAATTAATCGGAAAAGTGGAGTACTGTTTACACACTACGATAAATAGCAACGATGTTTTGTCTTATTTCGTTATCAAGAGCTCTAGATATCGACTCCAAAATAGCTTTTGCCATGGAAGAAGTAGTGTGGTTTGTTGGATTGGTTGCAGGATTTGCCCCGGATTTTTCCGATTTTTGCAGTACTTTCGACAGTTCTTTCTTATAAACCGTACGCAACGCATTAATTTTTTTCACAAAAGCGTTTCTGTCTGCCGAGGGATCAAACTCCTTGTATTTGTTAACGAGTTCAATATACGCAAGGTCCTATTTATTCCTTTCGAAGTATTTTTTACTTTTAACAAGCCACAAACAGGTAAAACTTCGATAAAGTTCTATAAATTTACTCAAGAACTCTCGAGGAGTTTGTCTGTTTGAATTGTCTGCCATACATACAGGGTGGGCCACTGAAAACTTACAATGGCTATAATTTTTAAACCAAAAAAGATATCAAAAAGATAAAAAATACCGTTTCTATAATATCAAGGGGGAATACATATGACGTATTTTTTGGACCACCCCGACCTACCCCTTAGGCGGCACCCCTACTCACTTGAAAATCTTAAATGGCGACACCCCACTTGTTGCGCATTTTTGGAAAGCCTATGAAAAAGGCTAAACGATGATCATAAAGTTTTTAGGGTGAAATTGAAAAACTACTCCATACACGAAACATTAGGTGGACCTTAATGAATAAAGTGATTTTTTCAGCACAAGTTACAAATTGGGACCCAGCTAAATGAGGCAAATTAGGTATTTTTTAAACCACCCCGTCACACCCCTAGGTGCCACCCCCTCACTTCTAATCTCAAGATAGCGATACCACACTCGTGACACTTCTTTGGAAAGCTAATTGGAATTGCTAAACGATGGTCATACAGACTTCGACTTAATTACTGGTAAGTAGTGATAAGAAATGTAGGTGTGACAATTTGAAAGAAATTTAAAATGATAATTTATTTTAACATTTGCACAAAATGACAGCCGTTTTGTTCCATACAAAAATACAAACGATTTTCAAATTCTTCTCTCACTTTTTGGAAAGTCTCTCTCGGAATATTTCGACATGCTTCAGTTATCCTCTGTCGCAATTCTTGCAACGTATCTGGTTTTGTCTTGTAGACTATGGATTTAGTGTAACCCCTCAAGAAAACGTCTAAAGGAGTGGGATCAGGTGACCTTGGCGGCCACTCGATTGGACCCCTTTTGCCAATCCATTGCCTTGGATAATATTTATCCAACCACCGCCTTGTGACAATAGAATAATGCGGTGGGGTTCCATCTTGCTGAAAGTGTATGAGGTCTTCATTAAGAGTTAAATTTCCTTCCAAATCTCTTTGATTTTCAACCTCATTTACAATGGCTGGCCCTATCAGTGTTCAGCATTTCCACATAAGCATCACCAGCCAAATTTCCGTCGAAGAAAAATGGACCTATAATTTTATCGCCTAGTATTCCGAACCAAACATTGAACTTTTGGGGATGTTGGGTGTATCCTTCAACAACAATATGCGGATTCTCATCGCTCCAGTATCTGCAGTTCTGCTTATTCACAATTCCGTTTAAAAAAATGAGCACTCATCACTAAAACAAATATTTTTAGTGAGTGAAGGTTCCCTTCGAATTTCCTCCGTCATTAGTGCACAGAACTGAATCCTTCTATCTGGATCGTCGTCGCCAAGTTCCTGCAGAATCTTTATTTTGTAGGGATGGAATTTGTGCATTTTCAATACTCTTCTGATAGATGTTCGAGGTATACCTGTGATTGATACCATCTGGCATGTTGATGATTCTGGATTGACTGATACCTGACCAATAACTTCCATCTGCCTTCATTCAGTACCCTGGGCTCTGATATTTTTTATTTTTGACCGATCCAGTTTCTTGAAACTTTAGAATCAAATCTCTAACATAAAAGTGACTTACGTTTTTGTCCGGATTTCTCTCATTGAAAGCACGGGCCGTTCTCAAATAGCACATGCTTTCAGCACCATAAAGAAAAACTATTTGAATTCTTTCTTCCACAGTATAAACCATTTTTCTTTCAAATAAGCTAATTAAATAAAGGTTTAAAATACCACCAAATTTGCAAACGATTGAAAATCGATAAAAGACAGTGCAAAAACGCAAAGATATGCCGTTTTAAGATTACTGTTTGTTGATAGTAAAAAATAGATGATAAGGAAGAATTTGCGTTATCCCAAAATTAGGCTGTAGTCAAGTTAGGCTTTATTATCTACATTTTTTATTTTTAGCTTTAAAATGGAATGGTTTCAAAATGGCATTGATGAGATTAGAAGTGAGAGGGTGGCACCTAGGGGTGGGTCGGGGTAGTTTGAAAAATACATCATTTGCCTCATTTAGCTGGGTCCCAATTTGTAACTTATGCTGAAAAAATCAATTTTTTAATTAATATTCACCTAATTTTTCGTGTAAGGGGTAGTTTTTCGATTTCACCCTAAAAACTTTATGATCGTCGTTTAGCATTTTTCATGGGCTTTCCAAAAAAGCGCCACAAGTAGGGTGTTGCCATTTAAGATTTTCAAGTGAGTAGGGGTGCCACCTAAGGGGTAGGTCGGGATGGTTAAAAAAATACGTCATATGTATTCCCCCTCGATATTATAGAAACTGTATTTTTTATTTTTTTGATATCTTTTTTGGTATAAAATTTATAGCCATTGCAAGTTTTCAGTGGCCCACCCTGTATATTCGATTTATGCACATAAACCTTTTCGATGAAACAACAATGGGAAACATAAACCGGACGAAATTGTAACGAGAAATGCGGTGCAACTTGTTTAGACATTCAAACATATCGTTACGATTCGCAGAAATTGATGCCGGAGAGCATCAATCATCCAATCCAACTCCAATTCCAATAAATCGCTACAATGTCCTGTTCATACCTAGCGATAAATCGAAACAATTCGATCGTTACGATTAATTGCTAGCATTTCTCGTAGCGTGTGAACCGCCCTTTAGGTATGCACTTAAACAAAATTCCTAAAATTTGTACTATTGTCGGATATGTATGATATGACCAAGAAATATTTTTATTTTAAATAATTAATTAGAAAACAAATTGCTTGCAGTATAGGTATATAATAAAATTATATCAGGATTCTTGCCACTTAACTGCTGATATAGAAATTTAATTCTACGCTGTGTTTGTCATAATGTGGATCAACCTGCTCTCACTACCGGTTTCGGAGCCCTACTCCATCATCAGGTGAGCTTGGGCAGATCCACAAAATGAAAACCACAGCGCAGAGATAGTTAATTCCGACTTGTCGGAAAGTGTCCGTTAGATATTAAGTCCCGAACGGGAGATAGCTGCCTGCGTGCAATGGTAGTACTTTCGTACCACCGAGGCGAAACTATCGATAGTAAAAAGATGGTAAAAGGCTTTTTTTCAGGCAAGCCAAATTATAAATTAGAAAACAAATTTCTTGCAGTATAGGTATCCGAAACCGGTAGTGAGAGCAGGTTGATCCACATTATGACAAACACAGCGTAGAATTAAATTTCTATATCAGCAGTTAAGTGGCAAGAATCCGGATATAATTTTATTATTTTAAATAATTACCTATATTATATTTCGAATACTTCAGAGATTAGATATTGTACAATATTGACAGTAATATATCGTTTATTAATATAAAAGATATAATGAATTTTTAGCATTCATAACAAAAGCGTTTTAAGCGAGACAAATAAGAAGTAATCTATAGTAATTCAAATTCTACTAGAGAAAAAATGGAATTTCCGTAAATAATAATATATTCGCAATGCTCTTAATCCCTAATCGTAACTAATAATAATAGGGTGCACTTAATATGGATTATCGGCAATATGATAAATTAAATAATGACATATTTTTGAAGTTGGCGCCAATTGAATATCATAAAATTAGTCATCTATAAAACGATAGATCAAGTTAAATCGAAGGGTATTATAACACAGTGATCATTTAAAATTAAAATGACTCTTAAAAACATAATATAATTTTATTAAAAAAAATAGATAATATAAAAACAACAGGCTTATATCTAATACAATGGAAAATAAATAATAATAGAGACATGAAAATGTTTCATAAAAATTCTAACAACTTGAATTATTTTTGTACTGAGGTCTGTCCAGCAAGAGGAGAGTCGATTTAGACAGAAATCATCCAAATACTGAGAGAAAAAACGATGCACTTTCGAATTAAAATTACTATAGGTGTCACTGTCTATTCCCTCGTTGGACAGACTATAGCTCTAGAGAACTATAAAAAATGATTCGTATTAATTTAATATAAAAAAATTATTTGTTGTTATTTTATATTATACTGAGGTTTCATACATATGTCATATATCTAACTCAGGCCTATTTGAACAAAAAATTACATTTTGTTAATAAGTAATTTTGTTACAATTTTATGAAGAAGACTGACACTAAGCAAATTAAAATTAGACTAGTATAATACTTCTGTTTTGCACCTGCACCAGTTTGAGGTGTTGAAGGTTTAGTTGGCTCACTTGTAGGCTCGCTTGTAGGCTCACCTGTAGGCTCACTTGTAGGCTCACTTGTAGGCTTAGTTATCGGTTCATTCGTACTTGATTGAGTTATAGCTGTAGTTGGTGGGTCTGTAGTCGGTGAAGGTGTAGTCGGCGGGGCTGTAGTCGGTGGAGCTGTAGTCGGAGTAGCTGTAGTCGGCGGAGCTGTAGTCGGGGGAGCTGTAGTCGGGGGAGCTATGGTCGGTGGGTCTGTAGTCGGTGGAGCTGTAGTTGGCGGGTCTGTAGTCGGTGGAGGTGTAGTCGGCGGAGCTGTAGTCGGCGGAGCTGTAGTCGGTGGAGCTGTAGTCGGTGGAGCTGTAGTCGGTGGAACTGTAGTCGGTGGAGCTGTAGTCGGAGGAGCTGTAGTCGGCGGAGCTGTAGTCGGGGGAGCTGTAGTCGGGGGAGCTGTGGTCGGTGGGTCTGTAGTCGGTGGAGCTGTAGTTGGCGGGTCTGTAGTCGGTGGAGCTGTAGTCGGCGGAGCTGTAGTCGGTGGAGCTGTAGTCGGTGGAGCTGTAGTCGGTGGAGCTGTAGTCGGTGGAGCTGTGGTCGGTGGGTCTGTAGTCGGTGGAGCTGTAGTTGGCGAGTCTGTAGTCGGTGGAGGTGTAGTCGGCGGAGCTGTAGTTGGGGGAGCTGTAGTCGGTGGTTCTGTAGTCGGTGGAGCTGTAGTTGGTGGAGCTGTAGTCGGTAGGTCTGTAGTTGGTGGAGGTGTAGTCGGTGGAGCTGTAGTCGGGGGATCTGTTGTCGGTGGAGCTGTAGTTGGCGGGTCTGTAGTCGGTGGAGCTGTAGTCGGCGGAGCTGTAGTCGGCGGCGCTGTGGTTGGTGGAGCTGTAGTGGGAGGATCTGTAGTCGGTGGAGCTGTAGTTGGCGGGTCTGTAGTCGGTGGAGGTGTAGTCGGCGGCGCTGTAGTCGGTGGAGCTGTAGTGGGGGGATCTGTAGTCGGTGGAACTGTAGTTGGCGGGTCTGTAGTCGGTGGAGGTGTAGTCGGCGGAGCTGTAGTCGGTGGTGCTGTAGCCGGTGGGTCTGTAGTCGGTGGAGATGTATTTGGTGGCACATCTGATTCATTATTTTCATCGTCATTTAGTTGTTTGATACGTTCTTCTCTTTGATTTACATATTGATTTAAAAAAATATTTTCAAGTACTTTATTGGAATGTAACATGGTACAAGATGATATATCAGAATATTTCATTTCGTAGTCTTGACAAGATTTAATTTCTTCATTAATGCATTTAATATCACTGACCGTGTCATCTCCTGTAATTAAAAGTTTAAAATAAAATAGGTTTTATATAAAAATTGCATATAGATCTTACCAGATGTATAAATTACTAATAAACAACCATCCTTACAGGTACATTGATCTATTGGACTGGATTTATCTAATAAAAAATAAAAAGAATAATGCATTTCTAAATACCTAATTATTTTATTAATATTTTATGATTTTCATTTCAAAATACAGGAAATTTCCAAACTTATTTTAATTTACAGTGTAGGTGTTTATAAAGTGATTATTCTAAATACCTAGAATTGTATATAGTTTAGTTTTTATGTTGTGATTTGTGATATAGCCACTTATGGCTGTTATTTTGCATTTCTTACATTTTTTGTCCATTGCTATAGTTAAAATTTATCTAAATATGTAGAAAAGTTAAAATAAAGACGGTACTTTTAAAAATACATAATATAGTGTAGCCATAGTTATAATAGATATAACATTATATGTATCAGAATAGAATAAATTATCTCTTGCAGTAGAGCAATTAGTAGTGACATATCTTGTCAATGATAAAACTGACGTTTGAAAAACATTAATTAATTGATATTGAAGTATACGCACTTTAACTACCTGGTAAACATTAGTTAGTACAGAAAATTAGATACTAATTTATTGTGTAGTATGCTTTTTATGTGATGCCCACATCATCGATGCCACTCAACCTATTAACTGTTTTGTTTAAAATTTAGTTGGAGTCAAAAAATGCTCCTAGGATTTATGTAAACAGAATCTTTAAATCTATTTTTTTCTCTAATATTTTTCTTCATATACCATACGGTCGAAAAAAAACGGCGTCAAAAACGTCTGGGGAATGATAATGGATTATAATTTTGGTGGGGTCAAACCATACACGTCATTTACTTTTAGATGGTGGAGTTAAAATTCCAGAAATAATAATAATTAATAATGTTAATTTTTGACAAGTTTTATGTCAATTTTTAGTAAATGGCGTCTAGAGATTGACCTCGCCAAAATTTTATCGATTGTCATTCACCAACTGTCTTTGACCCCGTTTTTTTTTCGATCATACGGTACTGATTGAGCAATTAAGTATAATCACAGCCTTTAAGCACCAGCTGACCATCTTCGCTTTTTTTCAGTATCTGTGTGTGTTTGTGTGCCACATAACGTAGTATATTTTATGGTGTCATCTGTTTTGTGTATTCTCGTGCAAATGCGTACAGATAGCGACGTGTCTACGCAAATTTCTATATAGGATCCTACAAAGCCCCGTTCGGCTAAAGCAAAGCCCCAAGGTCGTTAGTATTTAGAAAATCAAAAAACTGATTGCACATTCTCATAGCAATTTTATTAGAGCTATCTGACAGTATTTTTGGATTTTCAAATTAGCTGATAATTTGTGAGATACAGAGGCCAACTTATTTTTTTTAAATACTGACCTGCATTTTTTATATCAGGTTTTGAAAGAACTCGGTCTCCTGAGTACAATGATATGCCACAATTAATATTTTTTTGTTTCGGACATTTAAACACAATTTATTTAAACTAATTTCAAGTCCGGCTTTGTTTTTTTAAATATTTAATCTATTCATAGTTACAATATTGAGAGATAAGCTTTCAAACTTAACAATGACGTAGGGTAAAAAATTGAATACGGAAAATCAAATGCAATAAAATAATAAAAAATAAAATAAATATAACATAACATAAACAATTAAAACCTTTCCCCGGAAGATGGATTGGAAATGGTAGAGCAGTATAATGGCCAGCAAGGTTCCTGGACCTGTCGCCAAGCCGGGTGGGATATTACTTGACGTTGTAAAAGTGAAATCAATATATCTCAACATTTACAATAAGGAATAAAACAAAATGCATTCAGAAATATAAGAAGAATGTTCAAAGAGCTATAAATAAAATTGAACGAAAAATAAATTTATGCAATAGGGAGGGTGGTAACCATAGGTGGTAACCCTTTCGAATATGTAGAGCATAAGAAACTAGTTTGTAGAAGTTGATTTATTTATAATAACTACGATTAATATTATGCATATTATTAGATCACACACTGAGATTTCAAATTCACAATAAAGAAAGTTAAAAATATCTTTAAATTGCTAACCTGGATATTATTTATTTGAATCTTCCAATTGGCTCGATTTTCCTTATTTAATGTTAATTAGCGCTGATCAATATTGTTGCGATGAATATAGTTAGATTAAATAATTTAAAAAACCAGAGTCGGACTTACGGAAAATATCTTAAATAATAATTAAATAGTTTTGTTGTTGTTGAGGTACCCAAAACAAAAAAAGTATAAAGTGTTGCATATCATCGTATTCAGGAGACCGAATTCTTTCAAAACTTGAAATAATAAATGCAAGTCCGTATTTCAAAAAAATAGAGTTGGCCTCTCTGTATCTCACAAATTATTGGCTAATTTGAAAATTTAAAAATACTGTCAAATAGCCCTAATAAAGTGGCTATGGGAATGTGCAATTAGTTTTTTGATTTTCTAAATAGTAACGACAGGAAAAAATAAAATTTTTATTTAAAACTACTACAACCTCGAATTTGTAGCACCCTGTAAATGAATATACAGGGTGGTCCGAATTGTATTCCGGAAACTTCGGCAGCATATTCTGCAGATAAAAATAGGTAAAAAAGTTCGTATAAATGTAGGTCCTAAAATGCTTAGTTTCGGAGATACAGGGTGTAGAAATTTCATTTTTATTTCGATTTTTTCCAAATAATTTCTGAAGTAACGTCAATATTCAATATTTAGATGAAAATTGGTGTCTGGGAGTTTTTTGACATGAGAAATTTGATGTCAATATGACTCCTACTGCTAGAGGGCGCCACCTACATGCGTTTTAACTGTTTTGAAGCGTAATACCTTTTTGTCCGTACCTGTATAAAACTACCGAGGAAAAAATTACATCTCTGTGATTTTTTACGTAAAAATATCTCTTTGTAAAAATCGTTACGAGCAATCGTTCTCAAGATATTTAGAATGGAAATAGTCAATACATGCCATTATTGAAGATAAATAAACACGTTGAGTAGATAGTTATTTCACTGATATAATAAATTTGGGAAATTTTTATTTTTTTTTAAATTAATAATATTTTTCTGCAAAAAAATGATGATAAAACAGTCTTTGTTGAACTTTTGGTACAAAAACATTTCAAATTTATGATCTCAATCTAATGACTATTTAGTCAATATGTTTAATTTATGTCAGTGATGACAGGTATTGACAATTTCGGTTCCAAATATCTCGAAAACCATTTCTCGTAGCGATTTTTACCAAGAGACCTTTTTTATGTAAAAAGCGTCTTAAATGTATATTTTTTTACTCAGTAGTTTTATACAGGTACGGACGAAAAGAGTTATTACTCTTCAAACAAGTTAAAAAATATGTAGGTGGCGCCCTCTACTAGTAGGAGCTATATTGACATCAAAATCAAATTTCTTATGTCAAAAAACTCCCAAACACCAATTTTAATCCAAATATTGACTTATATGATTACTTGGAAAAAATCGAAATAAAAATGAAACTTCTACACCCTGTATCTACACCCTGTTTCTCCATTTTGGACATACATCTATAGGTACATTCTTACTTATTTTTATCTGCAGAATATGCTGCCGAAGTTTCTGGAATACAGTTCGGACCACCCTGTATATAGAAATGTAGATGTATAATATGTACATCGATACATGTATAGATGAGTTTAATGCGACAGGCTGGTTATAAAGGGGCTGTGATTTAACTATAGTAAACACCCACGTTAGAAGGCTTAATATGTATTAAGCATGTTATTTATATTTTTATCCAATTTCTTCAGTCATTATCTTTTATATACACGATTTTATTACGATCTACCTATACATCTTTTAAAGCGTTTATAAAGTTATCACTGATTTTATATTGAATTTACTGTGGGTCAAAAGAAATATACATTATTTTTTAAATAAAATATAGGTATAAAATGCACTTGTCAAATATATTTTTATAAGAGTAATATTTGTTGATACTTTCTAAAGGACTAGAAAGTAGTGAATGGAACACAGATTTATTTTTGTTATATGGAATAATTTCAATTTATATATATTTTCTCAATTACCTACATACAGGTTGTTTCAAAAAACATGTGCCATCTCTGGTGGGGGATTCCTTACGTAAAAGTAAGATTTATTTTTAGTAGTTTAGTAGATACAGGGGGTTAAAATCTTTTTTTTTTCAATTTATAATTTTCTTTCAAGTGCTTTTACCTCGGCTAAGTATTGAGCAATAAGAAGGATTGGAAGAGCGAAACGCTTGCCCAGCAGTTAAAAGACCATACCATAACTTGGTATACTGATGCTTCCAAAACCAATACGGGAACAGGGATCGGAGTGTTTGGGCCGAGAGCTAATTACTCCGAACCAATGGGCACTTACCCTAGTATCCTACAGGCAGAAATCTACGCTATCGAGAGATGCGTACAACTTATCTTGGATAGGAACTATCGGAAACAAAAATAGCCATCTTGTCTGATAGTCAAGCAGCGTTAAAGGCGATCAACTCAGTATCAATCAATTCGAAATTGGTCAAAGAATGCATAGAGAAGCTGAATAAATTAGGCAAAGAAAACAAAGTCCTCCTACACTGGGTGCCTGCTCACCAAGGGATAGAAGGCAATGAAAAAGCAAATAATCTAGCTAGGAAAGCAGCGAACACTCCACTAACTGAACCAGAACCGTTCTGCTTTCCAAGTGGTAACCAACTCAAGGCGGAACTCAAGAACTTGGAAGATTCCATCCGCAACCTGGAATGGAAATTTTCCAATGGTCTAAGACACTCGAAGAAGTTTCTGAGGGCTTATGATGAAGAAAAATCACAGATCTTCCTGGGTCTGAGTAAGAACAATCTTCGGATTGTCACGGGGTTTTTAACAGGACACTGTCTCCTCAACGAACACCTCAGTAGATTGAAACTAAGAAGAAACGGCGAATGCAGATTCTGTGGGGAAGATGGGGAAACACCAGTACACCTCATCACTGAGTGCGCCGAGACGACAACCATTCGTGCCATGAATTTTGGTACGACTGATATTGGAGATGGAGAACTACCCTCTATAAAACCGTCCCAGATACTGGCTTTTGTCAAAGCCCTGGGACTGTATGATGAGTTATGATTCAAGAAAGGGGGACACAATGGATCTGTAAGGTCGAAGTGATTAACCCCCCTCCCACTCATTCTAAATTCTAAAAATTCTACGTAAAAGTAAGATTTATTTTTTAAATCAACATAGGGTTGGATTCTGCTTTTTTTTTGTTTAGTAGATACAGGGGGTTAAAATCTTTTTTTTTTCAATTTATAATTTTCTTTCAAGTGCTTTTACCTCGGCTTTTACTGATTCGAATAAAATTTTGAGTGTAAAAGGTTCTATAACTGCTACATATTTTAATGCTAAAAAACTGCCGTCAGATTCACCAGGGACGTGCATTTGAGTTATCACTAGAATATTAAAAAAAGCATGTGTGCCACTGATTTGAGTTTTAAATAAGTGCAAATATTCTTAAGAGTCTATTTTACTAGTCTGAAAAAGTAGCAAAATAAGCGTTCGGCATTTAACGTTTTATGTAAAATTGGCTAGGTATTTTTACACAAATGAAGAAGGGAATTAAAGATAAAGGATTATACTATACAGGGTGGCCCATCGAAAACGTTCCGCAAGGCATAACGGCCAGGGTAATTTTTTTTTTCAGAAAATTCAAAAATACGTCAATTTTGTTTGTGAGGGGGACAATTTTTGCCCCAAAAATGATTGCAAAATCTTCAACCCTCTAAGCGGGGGTGTCATATCCCATTTTTTTTCAAATGGGAAGGGGGGTCAAGTCGTACCACATTGAAAAGGGCTTTCTATTCTCTATATTTTCCCGCTTCGTTTTTGAAAATCGGTCGAGCCATTGAGAAAATATGAAGGATTGAAATTTGAAAAGTTTATTTAAACATTTATCAGAGTAAATGATAAGGATAAATTCCTACGACCAATTTGCTGTTTTTTCTTATTATTTCTAAATGTTTACGCATTTTTTCACTTGCCACAAGGATGAACGATCGGGTTAGGTAGAGTGTACTTTCTTTTTGAAAGGTGTAGTTAATCGGCACAACTATTGGTACTGGGCTGAGGACAACCCCAGGGTTTTTCACGAGGTGCACACACAAAACCCTAAGAAATTGAACGTGTGGGCTGGTATTTTTAGAAATTATATTGTGAGTCCTTTTTTTCTTCCTGGGAAGCTAACAGGTGATTGGATTTACTGGAAAATACCATCGACCCAGCCCTAACTGACATCATAGAGAACAATCCTGGATACGTTAAAGCGGAACTAATATTTCAACAAGACGGTGCACCTCCACATTACTCTCAAAATGTACGTAATTATTTAAACAATAACTTTCCCGTTCGGTGGATAGGACGAAGGGGTGCAATTGAGTGGCCTCCCCGGTCACTCGACTTGAGTCCTTTAAACTTTTTTCTATGGGGATACATAAAAAGTAAAGTGTATAGCACTCCACCCGCCTCATTAGAAGACCTGCGAAGTCGAATTATTGATGTTTGTTGCGAAGTGACCCCGCAAGTTCTTTAGAATGTTCTAGAACGGGTTGAAAATAATTTGTATTACTGTATGGAGGTTGACGGGCAACATTTTCAGCATTTTCTTCATTAATAAGATAAGTTTTTTTTAATTAATTCAATTTATGCGTTTTTTGCAAAAAAAGTACTTTTCAAATTTCAGTCTTTCATATTTTCAAAATGACTCGACCGATTTTTAAAAACGAAGCGAGGAAATATAGAGAATAGAAAGTCCTTTTCATTGCGACGCCACTTGACCTCCCTTCCCATTTGAAAAAAGTTGGGGGATGACACCCCCGCTTAGAGGGTTGAAGATTTTGCAATCATTTTTGGAGCAAAAGTTGTCCCCCTCACAAACAAAATTGACGTGTTTTTGGATTTTTCGAAAAAAAATACCCTGGCTGTTATGCCTTGCGGAACGTTTTCGATGGGCTACCCTGTATGAGTATTGTAGGACATCTCAAAAAAAAAAGGACATCTCCAGACAACTTCATTATTTTTAAGATTTTGATGGTCAAACATCAACAAATAACTTTTAATTAAAATATAGCGCTTGAAAGTTATGAATGTTATGAATCTATGATTATTAAACATGGTTACACTAAAAATAAACTAGTTACTTACATTGTTCTAGCAAAACGAAAATTAGCAAGATGATTTTAAACTGCATATTTCCAAATTTTAAGTATATTATCACACACACCAACAACGTTCAAGTATAGTCTCAGAGGGTGATTGTCCCGTTCACTACAATGAAAGATACCGATCTAATTTTCAGATGGCACTTCTATGTATTTATGTGTGTAGCCTTTTTTTAGATAATAAAATAATGTATTTACCCAATACAAATCAAAAGCTGCAAAGATAATGTCCATTAATTAATCATTGACGCTGTGATACTGATATATTTTGTTATCATAGGATGAAAATATAAACAATTAAAATTCTGCTTGTTTCAGGAAATTTTAAAGTTGAGTACGTCAGTAATCCATTATTATAACGTTTTTAGAAATAGAAAGTCTACAGGTAACCTTCTCACTATTAGATAGCGCCATTTCTCAATTGCGTACCTACTTAAAAGTTAGTAGAAAAGATACTTAAAAAATATTGTCGGTGAAATGTGATAACTGCTTACTCCATTATTCCTAATTTTACAGGAGAGCAAAAAAAAACGGTACAAAAAAATACGTACAAATGTAGGAAGTATTTTCATGCGTTAATATGATTAAGAAATAAGCAGTTTATTTGCTGGGGACCAATAAAACTCAATATTGCGTGTTAGTTAATTTTGTTCAGACACAATAGGGAGATAGCAGATATTCGTCTTGCAGAAATAAGAAATATTTATTTCTGGAGATAGCAACCTTTATTTTTTGAAATTTTGAAAATGGAATTGAATATTACCCAAACAGATTTAGAAATAATAAATTAAATTTTAAAAATATGATATAACTATATATTTATAATATCGTCGGTCTAAAAGCAAAACATACAAGTCCAAAAACGAATAAATTTTTAATGCATTTTTAAAGAACTGAAGTAGCAGTATTTTGGACTTAATGAATATGAAAATAATTTAAAAATTTAACTTATAATTCTTAGAAGATATGGTAGAATCCTTCCATGCTTATCCTATTTTTTTACAACGGTCGGTAGTAGACCGAGCTTGGAAAACAGTGTGGTCATTATAGGATGAAAATAGCGAGATTTTATATTAAATTTTTATTACTTTTCTCCTTACTTTTTTAATTTTTATAAAGATTATGTATCATTTACGTGGAAAAACGTTGAAAAAAAAACTGATTAGGTATTATGAAAATTCTTGTACAAGTAAGTAATGTTATTTAAACTATTTATAGTACGCCGATGAATTGCTCATAAATATATAGAGAATTTCGTTTTTCCCCTTACCCCATATACAGGGATGTTTACCACATACGACACGGAGTATTGTAGCTAAAGGATTAGATTTTTACAAATTGTAAGTTTTGGGTTCGTTGAAGGACTACTAGAGCTACAATTTAAAAATATTTTTACAAGATACAGAGTGTCCCAAATAAATAAAAAATATCAAAGTTGTATTTTTTTAAATGAAACACCCCGTATATTATTACATTTTTAGTTTATACGATTTGTATAAAGGTAAATTTGATTAAGGTTTATTACACTTAAACTTTACTGTTTTTGAAATATTTTCAATTTTGTGAAATTGCAGTATAAATTTTAAGGCTGTATTTCTCCGAGGGTATCAAAGTTTTTAATACTAAATATTTACTGAAGTTTATTTATTGATCAGTTATTGTGTTGTGTTGCAATAATAAAAATTATACTACCTTATACAGAGTGTCTAAAAATTTATTTTAAATAATTACTAGCTTTAAACGGCAATAACTTGTTTAATTTAAATAGAACACCCTGTATATTTTATGAGAATCAGATGCACAATTTAATTGTCTATCAAATTGTATTATACCATTTTTTACCCATCTCTTCAAGTTTCCGTAGAAAATGCATTTTCTTGTAATTTAGAACTCATTTATCAATATACCCATTGAATACTGACATTTTAGATTATTTTTAAAGATGTACCAAATTTCTAAAGAATACAGATACTAATATTGTCGATATATTTCGTTTATTTCATTAAAAAAAAATAAAAAAAAACTGTTTAAATATTTGTTAAAGAGGACCAATTAATATGATTCCAGTATTCAAACTACATTAATTGACTGTTTGCGTTGATTAATAATAATTGCTCCAGATACTAACAAACTGAATTATGTATGTGTATTAGACAGTGTGGTGAAAAAACACCTTAAAAATGATATTTCATTTTTTGACAAATGCTTATTTATAACAGAGGCGTTCATTTTCATAACTTATTATTATATTGATTTCTGATTCAAATCCGCATTTATTTAGAATAATTTATTAAAGAACACAATTAAGTATGTAATTAATTAGTATTTGGGCGGAAATACTAGTGGTATATTTAATTAATGGTATACTCTTTTATAAAGATTTAAATAGTTTTCTTTTTGCATACAAATGAGCTACTAATATTATCGTTTTACTAAAAACGATAATATTACTAGCCTGTGCATTTTGTACATTTGTTGTTTTAAAAACTATGATGTCAATATTCCATGGGTATATTGATAAATAAGGTCTAAATTATAAGAAAATGCATTTTCTTCGAAAACTTGAAGGGATAGGTAAAAAATGGTATAATACAATTTGATAGACAATTAAATTGTGCATCTGATTCTCATAAAGTATACAGGGTGTTCTATTTAAATTAAACAAGTTATTGCCGTTTAAAGCTAGTAATTATTTAAAATAAATTTTTAGACATTCTGTATAAGGTAGTATAATTTTTAATATTGCAACACAATAACTGATCAATAAATAAACTTCAGTAAATATTTAGTATTAAAAACTTTGATACCCTCGGAGAAATACAGCCTTAAAATTTATACTGCAATTTCACAAAATTGAAAATATTTCAAAAACAGTAAAGTTTAAGTGTAATAAACCTTAATCAAATTTACCTTTATACAAATCGTAGAAACTAAAAATGCAATAATATACAGGGTGTTCCATTTAAAAAAATACAACTTTGGATTTTTTTATTTATTTGGGACACTCTGTATCTTGTAAAAATATTTTTAAATTGAAGCTCTGATAGTCCTTCAACGAATCCAAAACTTACAATTTGTAAAAATCTAATCGTTTAGCTACAATACTCCGTGTCGTATGCGGTGAACAACCCTGTATATGTTACGGTTAAGGTCCGATGTCCGGTTAATGTCGACATTACCCGGTTAATCTCGAGAATAACACACAACAAAACCACCAAAAACATAACCTAACCCAAACATTAACATGTTAATGTCGACATTAACCGTACATCGGACTTTAACCGTAACATATATAACTATTAGAGGGGCCCCAGCCTTCGCGGGCCCCCTTTATTGTTCATTATTTATTCTTAACAATATTTGATTTTGCATTGCATTGGTTTACCTTGCATTAGGGTAGTTCCTTGATTTCTATACAGGGTGAGTCTTATATAAGTGCAAATATTTTCAAGGCTGGTAAATCTCGATAATAATAATAATAATAAATAATAAATAATGTTTATTGTGCAAATGTAAAAAAGTACAAACATATAACAAATTGAAGGCAATAATTAATCCACATTCCACAAAAAGTTTGGAGATTTGGTGTTACCCATTCTTCCACTCCACCTTATGAAAATTAATAAAAAAACATGTTTTCTAGACTTAACCTGAATATTACATTAAAAAAAATAAAACTAAGATTCTAAACCTAAGGTATTAATTGAAATATGGTGACATCCCAATTTTAGATCGTACATTACTTTTAAACTGTGCCAAAGGCAAACTCAAGTCATCTATAAATTTATTTAATAAGGTAGGAGCCATATAGGAAAAACAATTCTTATAATATTTTGATGTAGTGTGCTGAGGGACTGTAAAAGAATTAACTCTGATGTTGACACTATGAATTTGAGATAAAGATAAAAGAAACATAATATTTTCTCTTTACCGTTTTTTCAAATAAATCCAAAACAACCGAGTTATTTCACTTTTAAAATTTCCAATTTTTTGCTAAAATTTTGAGAATGGCTCAATTTTCTTTCTTGTAGATTTAATCTACTATTTATGTTGCCATATTACAAACAAAGTATGTTTTTAAATTACAAATGAAAATAATCTCCAAAAATTTATGTAAAAAAATTCTAAATTTTCAAAAAAAAAATCGCGCAAAAAAACTCATAATCGTTTTTCTTGGGTCGAAATATCCTAAAATATTTGCACTTATTTAAGACTCACCCTGTATATAATAGGGAAAAATTGACCAAAACATAAGGCGAAAAAATACGCAAAAAAATCCACACGGGCCCCTCCTTACATTGCCACGGGCCCCTTTTGCCTAGTGCGGCCCTGGATCGACGTACTGTACTAAAGAAACATATGAGTAAGAATCCGTGTGTTTACTTTAGCGTGATCGTAATGGAAATTACGGAGATAGCAGCATTTCGGTGCCTATTCTAGATTACTGGGAGTTAGCAGATATTATTGAGTTAAAAGAGAAAATTTTCTTTAAAATAGGAAAGTTAAATATTTTTATAGTTATTACCCAAGCAGCATTTGGACGTCGGGACAACGTTGTGTCACGCGACCAAACGTCGGGGCGCAACGTCGGCACAACCTCGTGCCAACCCTAGTCTGCACTAGTTTGGAGAATAATTTTTGGGTCGAAACGTCGTTGGATACCGACGTTGGCTAGAAGCCTAATTTAGTACAAACTGCAACGTTGTTTAAAATCCTAATTCATAGAAATACAAAACTAATATGGCGTTTAAGTCGCGTTTTATCCTAAATTGAGATAATTATAGTAAAAATATTATTTTTATGATTTAGTTAGAGACATATGTCAGATGGCAGTGAAGGAAAACAAAACAAAAGTATTTAAGTGTGGAGGATGTTTGAAGATCATAATTATTGAAACACTTTAACCGACTCTGTAACTCGTTACCCAAGGCAAAAAAGTTAAACGCAAACAACTTTATTGATAAATGTATTGTTTCTACTTTGAAAAATACTAATGGGCCTTAAAATTAAAGAAGTTTTAAAAATTTTCTTGAATTTTTTTTTTTTAGTAAAATGAGAATAATTTATTCGCAGTCGAAAAAATTGTTTCCGCGTGTTTTTTAGGGTCAAATATTTCAAGTTAATGTATTCAAAAAGCAGGAATT